GAAAAAGATTGGTGTCTATCAGAAAAAAAAGTAAAGTCTCTCTCCTCTTGGTTACGTTCCCGCCAATAATCCCTTAATTCCCAGTCTTCTTTCATATCAAAAAAGGCTTTAGGTAGCCTTGCTTGTTTGAGAAAAGGAGAGGAACCTTTCTTGTCCCTTTGTGTATCTAAGACACCATTCCAATCACCCATTAATACCACTGATCTATAATCAAACAATGTTATTTTTTGATGTAACTGCTTATAAAATTGTTCCTGTTGTTGATTTGGAGCGTAAAGTCCAACTATAAGTATTTTCTTACCATAAATACCAAGTTCAATCATCACATATCTCCCCTGGGGATCTGATTCTACCAGACAAGCTGGTAGGTTTTGTTTAACATATATAACAACTCCCCCTTTCTTCCCAGGAGCAGAAGATATAAAATGAGATCCCAAACGAGCATTAACTAAATATTTCTGATCTTTAAGTAAAATATGAGTTTCCTGTAAGCAAATAACATCATTAGTATGTTGCTTCAAATAATAAAAGATTTTTTTGCGTTTCTGAGGAGAATTCAATCCATTAACATTCCAGGTCAAAAACTTTGCCATCTCCCTTGGCACGCAGCCTGGAGAAGACACCATCAAACTCTGAAAGAGCTGCGTGTGTTGCATAACTCTTGGGTCTTGCTCCTCCCACCGGCGGTGATGCACTTCCAGGAGAACTCTCTTTAGGCTCTTTTTTACGTTGCTCCTTCTCTTTACGCTTATAGGCTGCACGGGTCATCCTCTGCTCTTTAACTTCCGTCTGGCGTTGCTTTACAGCTTCTATCATCCCAGCGGAAACCAAATCTAACGCCTCAGATTGCTGCTCAACTTCCTTGCCACTCAGAGATTTCCGACCAGATGAAGTTGAGCCTGCACCCAGGACCGAAGTATAAAAGTCTCTAGCTTTATCAACTGTGTTCAATCTGTAGCGTGTCCCAGCATGGCTCAAAACAATACCCATCGGAATTTCCCATCTAAATGGCATCGATCTAGCTTTAAGCTCATTGGTTAAAAAAGCAAAGTCTTTCCTGCTTCTTAAAATTTTGGATGGGATTTCCTTTAAAATGATGACATCTTGGGCAGCAATCTGAAATCTTTTATTGTAAAAAGCTTGTATAATCTCATTCCGCAGGGACTTCTTTGTAAAATAAATCACCACATCTCTAGGCAAGTTCTTCTGCTTAGCAATCCAGGAGTTGAGCCTATAAATTTTTTCCACTTCTCTCTGTAATTCTCCTTTATCCATATCCAAGGCCAGCGCCAGATCAGTAAGGACCACCTCCACCAGATCTTGATTCACATCTTCCTTGAGGCCTCTGATCCTCAGGGCATACTCCATTTGTCTGTACTGAAACATCAAAATATCTTCTTGTGAGGAGTCCACCTTCCTTTCCACATCTTGAATTTTGTCATCCAAAGAGTCAACTTTGTCTTCCACTTCCTCAAGCCTTGCATCGAGCTTAACCACCACAGTAGCCAAACCTGAAACAGCTGCCAGTATATCTTGTCGTAATTCATTATTGTTTTCTTGCAATTTAGTCTTTATCCCCGTTATCTCTTCTTTGAGATCAGATTTAATTTCTGATTTAATCTGTGAGACAAATTGATTCATTTCCTCTCTCATTTGAACTACAATCTCTCCCATTATGCCTCTAACCTCTTGTGCTGAAAGTCCAGATAGAGGAGGGGAGGGTGGTGGCTGAGCCGGTGGTACATGTTTAGATTGTTGTTGTAGCTGTGCAGTGGAAGTTATAGGAGAAGAAATAACCTTAGATATTGAGGAAGGCTGCTGCCTCTTTGAAGCCATTTTAAAAAGCACAATTGTCACTTCCCTTTCCCCTCCAGCCAGGAAGGGAGGAGGGAAAAAAAAGAAAAAAATTTTTAAAAAGAGACAAACTATAGTCCTTGAAAGTCCAGAGTAAATCCAAAAAATAAAAAATAAAAGAGCAAACAATTCAAAAGAAAAAATTCTAAACCAAAAACAAAAGTAAAGGCAAAAACCAATCCTTAAAAAGGGAAAGTAAAACAAAAGAGAAAGGAAAAAAAAACTCCGACACTTTCAAAGCGCCATCTTAAATCCTTTCACTAATATAACAAAAAAAAAAGGGAGGAATAATAGTAGAAATCAAAAAATAAAAAAATTAAACACCTAAATTATAACAAAAAATCATTTAAACTGCTCCGTCCGTTTAAAAATTACTCACCAGAATGCTATAAACACGGAGATAGAAGCGGCGGTTTCTTTTGCTTCCTAGGAAGCAAAAACAGCTGGGAGGCGGAGATCAGCAGGAGCTCCGAGGGAACACTCCTTTCACCCCCTCTAGAAACAAATCCAGAGGGGGTTCAGGGGTTCTACCTCTATCCCTGCACTCTCTGTCCCTTCCCTTTGCCCGGGAAGGGATTTCCGAGCCGCGGGCCAGCTGATGCACGCTGCGCTCCGCGGCTCTGACACTTCCCCAGCTGGACGGCTAAAAGCTAGCCGCCATCGCCGTCGCCTCAGACCGGAAGCTCCTCAGTTTAAATATGTGTAGGTTGTAGACTATTAAGCTGCAATTAGTCTGCTTTTTAAAAATCTTTTTAAAATTTTTATTATGAAGTCTTTTATTTAAATCTCTTAATTATGGCCTTCTACCTTATGATTCTGGACAAGTAGGATTTTATGAGACAGTTGCATACAATAGATTTTGTGTTGTATTCTAGACAAAAGCTTGATGTTTATTGTAAGAGTTGGCCTCTAGTATAAGGTAGTGCCTATATGCCCTTTCAGTGATTTAATAGACAGATTTGTGAGCAACATTTGGGATTATTATTTGCTTCTTTACAATATGTTTAAGCATGAGTCTGTTCAAGTATTCACGTCGCAAAGGAATAAAACATGATAAATTTGATTTATTGGAGGAAGACTGAAATAAATAGTGAAGGATACCAGGGTGATAAGAGGTGCTGAATATGAACAGATCATTATTTGTATAAACGAGTGAATCTTGGGGTAGGGGAATAAGAATTTAAGAAAAATATAGAATGAAATAGTTTATACAGATCTGATCACATGCTGGAAGGAACAAATCAGAAATTTGTATCAGAAGGACAGTGATGTCAAAAAGTGGGGTTGAAGTTAATGCTCACTATGTTAATGCCAAAGAGGGGGAAAAAAAGGAGAAAACAGAAGCCATAAACATTTTGAGAATGGTAAGGCTGCAACATGTAATAAGATCCAGCTGTTCAAACGCAACATACTGTATTTAGATATACATAATACAGCACTGCACTCTATTAAGATTAGGAATTAAAACTAATACTTAAAATTAGATTTAAGATATAAAAAAACCCATAAAATTGATTACCAATGAATTCTAAAACTGTTGTCTATCCTGCAATAAACTAACAACATAAAAATAAATAGTAAAGCCTAAAATATTAATAACTTACAATAAAATTTACGCACGAGAAAAGACTAACTGATGAAGCATGAAGCATTATACACATAATCCAGAAATCAAGTCATTTATATATCTTCATCTGCTTGGAAAATTTCAATTTATTATGCTGAGGAAATTAACAATAACATTTCTCAGATCGGCCTGCAGCACGTGAAACAGAGGAAAAATGAGTCTTCTTTGACTATCATTATAGAAAGAACGGTGCAACAGGAGGAAAGGGAGGAATTCAACCGAACCATCATCATAATGGCAGATTTAACTAACCATGAGAGATATTACCGGAGTGCTGGTTGGGGCTGTTAATTTGCTCCAGCGTCAACCATGCCTTGTCTCTGGCTGCAAATTACTTGCACCGCACGCAGGGGGTAAAAAAAAAAAAATCTAAATGCTGTGAAGCGGAAACGTAATCATTGCTGGGCGGGTGTCTTTTTACAGAAGGGTTGGGATTGGTCAAGCATCTGGCGCAGTTTGTTGAGATCATCAAAGGTGAGCGGTGGCGTCGCTTTTGAGAAAGAGTGGCGGCCACGTGGGAAAGGGGACACGTTTCGGGTAGGTGGGAGCACTCGTGGGTTTGTGGGGTGGGAGGTCTGTCTGAGAGCGGGACCTGCTTCTGCGTTGCGATCTCCCGAAGTCTCCTTGGTATCTTCGTAGATCGAAGTGTGTGTGTGTGTGTGTGTGTCTGTTTGACTGTGATATACTCACGCGCACACATATATTCCTGTGTGGGGGTTTTTGTTGTTGAGAATGTAACATCACTTTTGGGAGAGTAAATTATTGAATGAAAAGAGAATCGATCCTATACGCAGAATTGTATTTTTAAAAATATTGTGTTTTTTTCCAGAGTGGGGGTTTTCACGAGTGACTTAGAGACTTTTAGTCTAGTATCAAATTTGATTTGACCCAGGGCTGAATATTTATTCAGTTTCATTTGCGTTTTGAGAGATGGTTAAGAAAGGTAGTATAGAGTAAGGCTCCGAGGTTCAGAAAATAGTTCTATTTGGCATTATCTTAGCTGTCCGCTCCACCCATTTTTCATTGGATAGAATACAAAACAGTTGGAAGGGGCCCTGGAGATCTTCTAATCCAGGGGTCCTCAACCTTGGCAACTTTAAGACTTGTGGACTTCAACTCCCAGAATTCCTCAGCCAAAAGCTGGCTGAGGAATTCTGGAAGTTGGAGTCCACAAGTCTTAAAGTTGCTAAGGTTGAGGACCCCTGTAATCTAATCCAACCCCTTGCCCCAGCAGGAGACCTTATACTTTCCCCAACAAATGGCTGTCCAATTGCTTCTTAAAAATCTCCAGTGTTGGAGCATTCACAACTTTTGAAGTCAGGTGTTCCACTGATTAATTGTTCTCACTGTCAGGAAATTTCTCCATAAGTCTAATTTGGATCTCTCTTTGATAAGTTTACATCCATTACTACTTGTTTTGCCTTCAGGTTCTTTGGAGAATAGCTTGTCCCTCCCTTCTTTGTGACAACCTCTCAAATATTGGAAGACTGCCATCAAGTCACCTACCTGTCATCTCTTCATTAGGCTAGGCATGCCCAGTTCCTGCAACCATTCATCATATGTTTCAGCCTCTCTGGCCCCTTAATCATCTTTGTTGTACTTCTCTGCACTTATTCCAGAGTCTCAACATCTTTTTTGTATGGTGGAGACCAGAACTGTAGTATTCCAATGCACTAGAAGAGACAAGTCTCACTGCAGACACTTGAAGTAGTATTTCAGACCACCAAAAGAGGTGGGTGAACATTTATATATTAGTTCTTGCTAACCTGTAAAACGAAGATTTAAAAAATGGATAGATTGCCAACAGTATTGTATCTTGTGCTTTTTATTTGGATATTGAAACCCTATTACAAAACCCTATTTGATAACTTTTGGGTACTGTATTTTTCTGTGTATAAGATACTACTTTTTCCTCAAACACCCTGTTCAAAAGTCAGGTGCGTCTTATACAAGTGCAGCGTCTTATATACAAAAAAATAATGGTAACGTCCGCAGCCCAGGGCATGCCTGTGTGGGTTCTTTACATGCCGCTGCCATGCCGCCTGGTACAGGAGGATATCGCTGGCTCGAGATGCCACCTGGTGCTGGAGAATCACACTGCCCCAAGGATGCCACCGGTCCCACTGAAGCCACCTTCTATCACCCATTTTTCACAGGCTCAGCTCGGGCTGAAGCCGCAGGAAGCCACCTCAGTACAGTGATTGACAGCCAAGTATGTCGGCGGGACTAAGCCCGTAGAGTGCCATCTGATTGGAGGAAGTCACCTCCCCCATGTGATGGCATGGCCACTTGTTTTACTTCCACTAAAGATGTGGTTTGTTTAATATTTAAAATGTTTTCTGATTTTTTTTGTTTAGAAAATTGGGGGCCGTCTTATGCAAGGGTACATCTTATAGACAGAAAAATACGGTATACAAGAATATAAGTACAACACAGAAGATATTTTGAAAGAGTTTATAAGTTATGAGATGTGGAACTGATGTACTACTTTTTCTTGCAACAGATAATTCCCTCCATATTTTGGAAAAAATCAAAACATTTATTATAGTCATTGACCAGAAATAGAAGCAAAATATAATCTATTACTTTTACATATTAAGATTATCTTTTAGTTTAACATGACAATAAAGTTATGGTCTATTAATGAAGTCTGGCAAAAGGAAAAGTTAAATTTAATGACTGAAATTTTACTTTTAACCCTTTGAAGTTAAGAGGCCTGACAACACTGCTATTTAATACCAATAAATTAGATATGCTAATTCATTGAAAATATATTAGTGTCACCTGATGTCTTATCCTATTCTATCCTAGAATGGTCAGCACATAGAGGATTTTGTAGGGGCTTAAAAAGTGCATGTTTTCTGTGATTGCAGTAAACCTGAAGTACTTATAGCTAAATTATTTATTGCTTTGAAATTACTATATTATGTACCAGCTGCCTAAGGGGTATTACAAAGTTGATGGTAATACTGGTTAATATGTATAATTGGGAGTTCAGTTGATCTTTTAGACTTGTTGTACATATTGAACAGAAAGAAGACATGTCATTTCGAGGGAGAGGTGGAAATAATCATGGTGGATTCAGCCGTGGTCGTGGTGGTGGTTTCAATAGAGGAGGAAGAGGTGGTGGAAGAGGTGGATTTGGACGTGGAGGAGGACGTGGAGGCTTTAATAGAGGCGGTTATGACCAAGGACCTCCAGAAAGTGTAGTTAGTAAGTATATTGAATACTAGAGAATACTAGAGAAAATGGAAGAGGCGAGAACCTAGATAACCTGATTTCTTAATTGTTCTTCTTTGCAGTTCTTGGAGAATTTATGCATCCTTGTGAAGATGATATTGTTTGTAAATGTGTCACTAATGAAAACAGAGTACCTTATTTCAATGCACCAGTTTATTTAGAAAACAAAGAACAGATTGGGAAAGTAGATGAAATATTTGGGCAACTTAGAGACTTTGTATCCTTTGTGTACTTTTGAATGCAGCTAAATTCAAAGTAAACAAAATAGTTGATTTCTTTATTTTTATACAAGAAAAGATAAAACATCTAAAAGTTACATTCAGTTTTAGCCGTCTACATCACTGTATTCTGTCTATTAAGCAGTTAAAAGATTAGCTGTTTTACACTTGGACTTTTTGGTTTGACCAAACTTCTAGATTAGTTAAAAAAAAAAAGGTAAGTCTTCTTCAGGTTGATCTCAATTCCTGAATATTTTATGGATATAGTCATTTATATTTCTAGATAACAGTGAAATTAGAATTCCTAGTTGCCTCCTAGCCAACCTATAATTTGGACTGATCTCAGTTACCTGATCCAGATCAGCCAAGGTGATGTATGGAACCTTTGCATTAATTAAGGGAATATATGTTGTCTTTGCCACTTTGTATTTAATATTGACACAGCTTTTCAGTTGGTATGTACGCTGGTATGTAGTTACCATTTTGCTGGCTGCTTAGATTCTAGAGTTTCTTTTTTCTGTATCTTGCAAATTTGATATAACAAACGGTAATGTTTTCTTGAAAATCTTAACTATTTTGCAATGTAAATAAATCCTTTAGTCTTATATTCAGTTTTATTACTAGTTATGTTTGTGTGTGAAAGAGAGATAGAGCATGGTTTTTTTTTCATTTTATTTTGGGATTGGCAAATAAATCCTTTTTTAATGCATTTAATTCTCGGAAATCTGTCCTGCACTTGGAATCTAATGCAAAATCTTAGCCTCATCTGGTCATTTTAAATTATAAGAAATTACTTGCAGGCTAATGAACTTCTTGAAGAAAGTTAGGCTCTCTCCCTTTCTTTAAGGACTGTGTGGGACATGAGAAGTGGAGGACTTCTCCCCTACGTTTGTACTATTGTGTTTTCATTTTTATGCAAAGACATAGGGAGTGCTCTAATTCCAGCCTAGTTTATCTCCCTATGTTGAACTCTAATGCCTATTATAGTTTGAAGATTTTAAAATATGCAGCTTTTAAAATTTATCTAGAAGGCATCATATTGTCTGTTTACTTGTTGCTCCTGTTTCATATTATTTATTTTAATGATCCGTCCAAGGAGGTGCTTTGTCATGAATGGACTAAGACGGGGGTAGGCAACCTTGGCTCTTTTATGATTCATGTACTTCAATTCCCAGAATTCCTGAGCCAGCCATGCTGGCTCAGGAATTCTGGGAGTTGAAGTCCACGAGTCATAAAAGAGCCAAGGTTGCCCACCCCTGGACTAAGAAGATCTTTTGTAGATTTCTACCTATTGGAACCATCATTATGTTTGAGGATTTACTTTTAAATTGATAAAAGACATCTGTGAGGAATCTAAATAGAGTTTTCCTTAAGCCACTTTGAAAGTACTTTTCAGTTAAACTGTCAGAAAACATGAAAGCTTCGTCTTTCAAAAAACTACAAAAGGTAAGTCCTGCTTATGTTCCGTTTGTGATATGTAATCTTGCTGTCCATTAAATATTCATAAATATGAGTCTAAACTCTAAAAAGGTGTATCCTTCGTCAATGTGCATTTTATTGTTCTGTTATTTTATTTCTGTTTATATGCCTTTCCTTTTTTCCCTTTTTTATTATTGTAAGCTGCCTAGAGTAACTCCATGGTGAGATGGGTGGCAAATAAATTTAACAATGAAATAGTAGGGGTTTGTTAATGGCTAGTTCACTGAATATCTATGGCATTGAACTAGGCACCAGATTAGAACCCAAGAGACCATGAGTTGTAGTCCCATTTTAGGCACAAAGCAACTGGGTAATCTTGAGCCAGTCATTCTCCCAGCCCTAGGAAGGAGGCAATGGCAAGCGACTTCCAAAATCTTGCTAAGAAAACTGCAGGGATTGGTCCAGGCAGGTGCCAGGCACTGATTCAAAGGTGCACAGAGACACAAACACACTCAGAGGCACACAGAGAAAAAGTAACTTACTACATTAATGACTATTATGACTAGTAAACAGTCTCATTCTCTCATGCTCAGTGGTGCGTTTTGCTGCTTGCTCTGATTCACTTTGTCATTCTTGGATTCCTTGGGGCTCTGAGTACTTCTGATCAGTAATCTGTACTTGCTCTTCTTTGGTTTTCATTAGGGTTATAAGTGCAGGCCCTTATTTTGCAGCAATATTTTTAAAAGAAATACAATCCCCTTCTAAAAGGAAGAGGAAAGTTATGAATTTTGCAAAAGGTAGGGTGTCAGAAATTATTTAAGTCTCCCGCTTGCCTCCCAGTGGTGGATCTATTCTTCCCCCTCCCCAGCAAAACCAAAGAATTGCATCCTGTTTATTGTACTGTGTTATCTAATTTGTCTTTGATTAAGCATACTTGATGTGCAGTCCAGCACTCATGAAAGGAGTATGGGTTGATTTACTTGTGGTTAATTTATTGCATTTATCTCAGTTGATAAATGCAATTATTTTATATTGGTTCAAGAAAATGGTAACATTTAAGCAAAAAGTAAAGGTTTGGCAAAGTCTAATGCTAATCTCCTCCTTCAGTTTTATATCGATCCAGCAAAATTGCTTCCTCTGCAGAGGTTTTTGCCAAGGCCTCCTGGTGAGAAAGGACCCCCAAGAGGTGGGCGAGGTGGAAGAGGAGGGCGAGGTGGGCGAGGTGGAGGTAGGTAGATTTCTTTCTTACAATGGGAACAAATATATGCAATAGTGGAAAAATTGCTTTTAGAAGATCACAAACATTATAGTCCTGAAAGCTGCTCATTGGATTCAGACAAAACTTCAGATGTGAAGGAAAGTGAAATAATTTAGAAGGAGACTATAATTTATCCAGGGTTGAACAGATGAGTCTGAATTTACTGCATCAAATCTCATTCTCCATAAAATTAACCTCTGCATAGTTTTAGGACGCTGAAAATAGTAGTAATGCAGCAGCCATAGCAAAAAGGAACAAACCCCATGTATCGGTTGTGTAAAATGCCGTAGTGGGAAGGGGAGTGCTGTTTTCAGTTGCCTTCACATAAGACAAATCCCTGGTTAAATTGTCTGTTAATCCCAGTTGGTCATCCTAGTTACATTATTTGGATAGCTGGCAGGATAGTAAATGAAAAGGAGTGCCTTACTTGTTCTGCTAAGCTGGCCCCTCCTAGGAACAGCTTAGTTCTTTTATAAAAAAAAAAAAAGGCAGTTGCATGCTTTAAAGACTCGTGCTATCTCCAGGTGAGATACCACCTAGAGGTGGCTACCAATCTGTCGTACATGAGACATAATACTTTTTGCAATGCGAATAAGCCTGGGAGGTGGTTGGCTTATCAGTTACGAAAGAAACAGAAAGCTAGAATTATAGAGAAAGTAAAATATAAAGGTACTGAGGTTTTTCAGCAAGATTTGATTAGAAAAAGCTTTTTGGACTTTTACACAAAATTATATTCAAGTGATAATATAAGGGGTTTGGATATAGATAAATATTTACAATCAGTACATTTTCCTAGACTTTCAGAGGAACAACAAAATGGGATGAATAGTTTAATTACTGTGGAGGAAATTGGTTTAGCTATTAAGCAGTTAAAGGTTGGAAAGTCTCCTGGAACAGATGGACTGACTTCTAGGTATTATAAGATCTTATCTGAAGAAATGATAGAGCCATTAAAGGAACTTTTTAATAGTATTTTGTTGGGTATGCAAGTTCCTCCTTCTTGGAAAAGAGCTTTTATATCACTGATTCCGAAGGAAGATCAGGATCTTACAGAGCCTAAGAATTATAGGCCAATTTCATTATTGAATGTTGATTATAAGATCTTTACAAAAATTTTGGCAAATAGATTAATGCAGGTTATGAAAGACTTGATTCATAGTGATCAAGCAGGATTTATAACAGGGAGATATATGAAACATAATGTTAGACAAATTATTAACTTAATTGAGTACTTGGATAAGAATAATCAGATTCCTGTGGCTTTTATCTTTTTGGACGCTGAAAAAGCTTTTGATCAATTGGACTGGCAATTTTTATTTTCTTTGGTAGAGAAAATGAATTTTGGGGATAATTTTTTACATGCACTTAAAGCTATATATCAGCAGCAATCTGCACAAATTGTTGTAAATGGGGGATTGACTGAGAATTTTAATATTCAAAAAGGGACAAGACAAGGATGTCCATTATCCCCATTGTTATTTGTTTTAACATTGGAAATTTTATTGACTCAGATTCGGGAATCGAAGTTAATTAAGGGTGTAAAGATAAGGAAGAATGAGTATAAATTGCGGGCATTTGCGGATGATTTGGTTTTAATTTTGGAACAGCCGAATCAGGCGATTGATGGTTTATTAGAACTTATAACACAGTATGGGAATGTTTCTGGTTTTAAAGTTAATAATTATAAGACTAAGATATTATCTAAGAATATGTCAGTTAAAGAAAGGGAAAGTTTGATTAAAGCCACAGGTTTTCAGATGGTAAAAAAGGTTAAATACTTGGGAGTATATCTAACTGCTTCAAATGGAAAATTGTATAAGAACAATTACGAACCACTATGGGCAAAAGTCCAAAAGGATTTAAGAGATTGGAAAAAATTGCAATTGTCATTGTTGGGGAGAATTTCAGCTGTAAAAATGAATGTTCTACCAAAGTTTCTTTTTTTGTTTCAGATGATACCTATTCTTAAAAAAGAGGCAAATTTGGAGGAATGGCAAAAGGGTATCAATAATTTTATATGGGCCGGGAAGAAACCAAGGGTTAAATTTAAGATATTACAGGATGCTCGAGAAAGAGGGGGACTTAAGGCACCTAATTTGAAATTATATTATGATGCAGCCGCCCTAACTTGGTTAAGTGATTGGCTTAATTTAACAAATATGGATATTCTTTTTTTGGAAGGTTGGGATTTAATATATGGTTGGCATGCATATTTAATTTTTAATAAGAAAGTTGATCGGACTTTTAAATCACATATTTTGAGGAATGCCTTACTTCGTGTTTGGAAGAAGTATTATTATAGATTAAATTATAAAATACCTATCTGGGGGATTCCCAGACATGCAATTGAGGGAACCTCTAAGGGGACAAATTTTGATAAAATTTCATACAAAGAATTGTTAATTTGTTCTGGTTCGAATTGGCATTTGAAATCCCTAGATGTATTAAGGCAGCAAAATATTCTACAGTCATGGTTTCAATATTTACAAATAATGGATAGATGGACTGTAGACAAGAAAGAGGGAATAACACTAGAAGATAGACAATTGGTTATTCAGATTAAAAACCAAGGTCCGGCTCATATAAAAAGAATATATAATGTTTTATTAGAGTTAGATTCGGAAACAGAATTGGTTAAAGATTGTATGATTAAATGGGCTCAGAATATACAGGAGCCGATCTCATTGGATTTATGGGAGACAATTTGGATAAGAAATGTTAAATTTACACAAGCTCAAAATTTGAGAGAAAATTTTTATAAAATGTTTTATAGATGGCATTTAGATCCTAAAAAATTATCTTGTATGTATTCCAACATACAGCCCAAATGTTGGAGATGTGGCAATAATGATGCGACATACTTTCATATTTGGTGGAATTGTAAAAAAGTAAAGGCTTTTTGGATTATGATTTGGTGGAACATTCAAAAGATTTTTAGAAAAAAGATAAAGTTTACTCCTCAACTATTTTTACTTGGTATTTTTGTTGACTTAAATGAAAAAGAAACTACTTTGATGTTGAATTTATTAACTGCAGCAAGGTTACTAGTAGGTTTATATTGGAAGAAAGATTCTTTGCCTACTTTAGAAGAATGGATATTTAAAGTATCTAGTTTTGCAGAAATGGCAAAAATTTCTGCTTATTTAAAGGATCATACACAAGAAAGATATATTACTGTATGGGGAAGGTGGATAGATTATATTCAGAAAAAGTATGGAATTAAAAAGTTTTATTTATTTTATGAATGAATATCAAATATTATAGAGAATTGTTTTATAGGTTATGGAGTTAAAGATTAATTATGATATTTTTTTTTCTTTCTCTCTTTTTTTTTCTTTTTTCTTAATTATTATAATTTTCTTTTTTTTTAACCCTGTATTCTGCTCTGAGAAGTGAAGGGAGGGGGGGTGGGGGTGGGAGGGAGGGTAAGGGGGGGTTTTCTATTTTAAAATTTTATTGTATTTTTATAAATGATTGTATGTTTTAAAAAATAAAAATTTTCAATAAAAAAAAAGACTCGTGCTATCTCTGAACTCCATTATTTTTAAGCAAGGATTTTATTACAATTTCTTATGAATAATCCCTGCACACTTTAACGGATGAATTTGTGGATCTGTTTAGTTTAGGCTTCTGTTTTCTATGTGCTATTCTCACTCACTTTGATACTGTACAAGTCTCACTTGACCCATCTACTTTTATTTGTTTTTAGGTGGTAGAGGTTTTGGAGGTGGTAGAGGTTTTGGAGGTGGTAGAGGTTTTGGAGGTGGTGGAGGATTCAGAGGAGGACGAGGTAGAGGTGGTGGCCGAGGATTTAGGGGTAAGTGTATTCATAACCTTATAATAATCACTTTTAGAATAATTATCTATCTTGCTGTTTGTTATGGGCATATTCTGTATTATCTGTGCGATGTTTAGACTTTTTGCTTCTCAGATAATTAGCAACCTTCAAACTTTAGAAGAAAATGTAGTACTTCTTGCAAAGTAATCAGAGCTTCCTTATCAATCATAGAAGATTAGTTTCCTAAATGGGAAATGTGAATACACTAGTACCAATGAGAAAATATGAGAATATGTTGCATGAGTATTTAAGCATGTCTGGCTAATTGGGAATGAATATGTGTCTTAATACACTCCAAAATACTACAAAACCTCTTAAAACTCTTAAGACAGTTGAGAAATGGGTTTGATTTGTAGAAGATTTGAAAAGCCAGGATCAGAAACTCCCAGCATGTTAGGGCAGATCTGGCACTTCAAGAAGACCCAGTAATGCTGGGTTTCTCCTCAGACCTGGCAATATCTCCCTTATCCAGCGTTTCAGAGTAGTGCACGGTTAGGAAACTATTCATTTTTATATACTGCACTGTTCTAAAGAGATGCTGCATTAGCTCATTCTAATTTCAAAATAGTGGGAAGCTCATAACTGCATGCATCGAATCTCCGTGTTATTTGATAAGCTTATGTGGAGGCTGGGATAGGGGACCTTCAATGAGGGGACTGTTGGCTGCCACTTTTCTGGGAAAAACTTAATACTTTGGAAAGGTTACAGCGGAATTTTACTAAAGGAATATTAAAATCATTAATCCAAACAGTTCTGAAGTAAAAGACAGTGCTACAGCCAGAGTTTATGTCTTTTTAAGACTGGATATGGAAAATCTAATTTTTCTTGTTTTATCATATTAGGAAGAGGATACTGAGTGGAGTTGCTGGAAACATGAAGTTTATGGCTTCATCAGTGAACTTTAAAGAGAAGACTCCTTACGAACTTGAATGCTACAAAATGGAAACGATTTTTAAACATACAATAGCTGAAGGAGTAAAGTGTTTTCATGCCGAACGTTTATCGGTTTCGTTTAATATGCAACAATTTTAAGAAGAACTACAGATATTTGATTTGCAATCTGTATCATTATTTGGAGGCATTGTGGAAAGTTATTCTTAAGCTTTTTTAAAGGGACTATTTTTATTGTCAAGAATTTATCCTCTTATATCATCAGTGAAACTGAATAATAACTTGAAAAAGTATCTACTTAAAAATGTCAAATAAAAAATCTTTTGGATTTCTGGTAGTTGATTTTAAAATAGTAATTTATAGATATGCCCCAAATGTATCAAAACATCTTAATTAGTTCCAATAGTGGAGTCCTTGGTGCTGTTTGAGCTGCTTGTTTGTTTGCAGATGTTTCATTACCCAAGTAGGTAACATTATCAGGGCACTGATGATGTTACATAGTTGGGTAACACAATGTCTCAGGCAAATAACCAAACTCAGAAAGTACCAAGGATCCACATCTTCAATAGGATTTGAAATATAATATTTTAGCATTTCTAGTTGCAGCAGCCAATACAGTTTTACAGAATAATGTTCAAAAATCATAGATTCCATTTGTTTGATACTGAATGTGAGATGAAGGTGACTATATCTTGTACTTAGCTCTCTGGTTTAAATGTTAAAAAGACAAACAGAAAAAAATATCAATATATGTGATGTCTGATTATCTAGAAAAGTTTACATAACAGGATTTAAGACGAACAGAAAATTCACAACTTGATTGGCTTCACTTATAAGTTAGTTAATTTAATGAACAACTCATAAATTTTGTGCTCTGGTTTGAAGAATAGATGCATTGTGTATATATAATAAGGCTGAATAAACTATTCAGTGGCCCTTTTATGAACTGATTGAAACATACCTCCAAATTATCCATTTAGTCAAAGCAGCTGCGTTTCTGAAAGGCTTAGCGCTTTTCTGGGTTTGGGTACATAAGATGCTTTTGAGAGAGATTGCAAGTATTTCTGTAGTTTCCTGAAGAAAGAATCTTCCAGACTACTTTTATTTTTTTATTCAAGTTCTGCCATGCGAAATATTCCTTGCTCTGTAACATTAGGAAATGTATAGTATGCTGTCTGTATATATGAATGAATCTCTGTGTGCACATAAGGTATCCCATGTGCATTTTATACCTACTGATTTTCTGAATCTTGAAAATAAATTATTTGTAAGAGTTCTATATCATTCATTGTGAATGAAGCATTATGCCATGGACGTCCTTTCTAGAAACAGGAAAAAATATGCATTAATTGTCTCTGGTTTGAAAACTTTCAACTGTACTATCCTCAAATATATGAATGATAATTATTGGAGTGGTAGTCTAATAAATCGATTTATTAGAGTAGTAGCCTAAAGAAAGTTATACATACTTAACTCAATAATAATTCCCACAGTGTTCAGCAAGGGCTTATTAGCATCTAGCAGAATGCTTTGAAATTCAGTCTTGCCATTTCTTCCCAATAAAATGTAAACAATCTTTTTACAGTGCAGACTGCAGCTTGGACTTGCTAATGAATTCCCAAAGCCAGGACCTCTAAAAGCTGCTTAAAATATTTTCTCTTATAATTTCCATGCCATGTTCATTGACACACAAGCATGTTTTACACTGGCCTTGCTGCAAAACAAGAAAAAAATAGGTGTATGAAACAGAACAAAGAGACAAAACTCCCTGGCATGGATTTTACAAGATGAATGCTTCTGAACTGAGTTTCTGTAGTATTCAGTATGATACAGAAGAGGATGAATGGGGGGGAAAGTGACGAAGCTAGCAACAGAGACTCGATGGGAAGCTGCAAAGAAAAAAACAGCGGCATGGCATAGGTTTTTTAATATGGTCTCATCATTAGTATAGAAGAATGCAGGCACTTGTCCCAAAGGTGCTTTTTCCAAAATGCAGTTGGGCTTTCTTGTTTTTTTTTTCCCTTTGAAAACTTTGCTTCTTAATTAAGAAGCTTCTTCAGTTTTAAATTGAAGAAGCTTCTTGGATGAGAAGTGAAACGTTTTCAAAGAAAAAACAAAATCCAGTTGCCTTTTGGAAAAAGCACCTTGGGGACAACCATGACTTGGATGACTAAGAATCCCCATAGACAATGCAGGCACTTCCTCTACAACTTAATGTTCAACGCAAGAAATAATGGGAAAATAGTGAATTGGAATTTGGGGTAAACAGGAAGAATGCATTCTTTTCAGTTATCTTTGGGAGAAAAGTTAAAGTTTAGGAAAGTTGTTTTTTGTTTGGCTATCCTAAGAACCATGGATTGGAGTTGAAGGCAAAAGATACATTGTACCTGTGTAAATAAATAATAGGATATTTATAAAAAAACTATTGATTGCAGAAATTTATCCCAAGTACCAGAATTTAGAAATATATTGTCCATTCTCAGAGATCTACCATTTGGTCCTGAATTCCTCCAGAGTCATAAATAATTATGCAGTAAATAAACTGAGGCATCAAAGTAGATTTAATAATAACAATAAACAAAAGAAAGCCAGTTTGGTCTAGTGCAGGGGTAGGCTGGCTCAGGAATTCTGGGAGTTGAAGTCCACGAGTCATAAAAGAGCCAAGGTTGCCTACCTCTGGTCTAGTGGTTAAGGCACTAGGCTAGAAAGCTGGAAACTGAATTTGTAGTCCTGCCTTAGGCATGAAAGCCAGTTGGGCCAGTCACGCTCGCTCAGCCCAACTCACTTCCCAGGTTTATTGCTATGGGGAAAATAGGAAGAAGGTGTTTTAGCTATCTTGCGTTTTCAATCTGGCATTTCTTAAGGTGAATTAGGGTATTAAAAAAGAAAATACAGGGAAGGAAATGCCATTGGGTGGCATCCAATCAACGATTGGATGGTGTTGAGAAGGGACCTCCAGATGGTGATGGACTCTAAGGTCATCCCCTTGGACAGTATTGTCCCACAACATAAACTTCCAAGTTTTTCATTTACACTTCGACTCCACCCTTCAGACAAACTCACCACCACCATGGAACGTATCAAGTGGTGGAAGCTCCCTAACAATGAAACAGTTGATGGACATCATTAGACCTCTTCCTGTAGCTGTACTTTGCAAGAGATATATGGGACAGGTCACTGCAAGAATCCGGGAGAGCGCAAAGGAACCGTAAGTGTGACCAAATCAGGGTGATGTTTTGTGGACAAGTAGATCTGGTGGGGGAACGAGGATGTCCAACATACAGTGAAATCTAAGAAAGCTGCCATCAAAGACTGGTTACGATCCAAGACCAATACCGACAGCCTGCTACCACCAGTTTAATTCCACTGCCAAACGGGCCATCAGAACTGTAAAATTTGAACACCAAGGACCCTGCAATATGACGGGAATAACACAAAGAACAAAAGAAATGCCATTGGGTAGAAAGTATTTATCTTGCATATGTCCATCAATCTCTACAAGTTATGATGGAATGTTGGTTTACTCATAGAGATAGGGAGTTACATAGTTTTTATTTCCTGCTTGTTGGAAACAAAGCAGGTGGTGGTGTTCTACTCTGGCAAGGCTGCTCTTAATTACAATCTCTCTCTCTCTCTCTCTCTCTCTCTCTCTCTCTCTCTCTCTCTCTCTCTCTCTCTCTCTCTCTCTCTCTCTCTCTCTCTCTCTCTCTCTCTCGGATAGCTTGCAGATAGTAAAAAAATAAATATAGGAACAACTAAATTTTAAATGCTATGTTTAAAACTAGACCCAAGGAATGAACGACATTATACAGGCCTTCATTCTTGAAGCAGCTTCACAGAATGCTCTTCCATGATCTCTAAATCTTCTAAAAACTGCCCAAAGGCACATCCCGTTCTTGTGGGAGACCTCTTGAGAGCATATTGTCCTCACATGGCTTCTGCCACCTCAAAAATCATGCAAGAATGGGGTGTGTTTTGAGAATAAGTGTTGGGTATTGGTGAATGCTGGTGTGTCACCCAAATGTCATATCACCTTTGAAATGTTTGTCATAGGTTTGCCATCACTGATGTGCATAACTACAGTCAAAAATCAATAATAATCATGTTTGACTCACAATGCAAATTTATGTAAGCCAGTTTATATATGTGTGTTAGAAATATTTCAAGGTAGATTTCCAGTTTGAAGTGCGCATCTGCAATCTGTCCCTTGCAAACTGAGAAAAATACATTTTTGACAGAAACTGAGTTTATTTTGTTTCATAACTTGCTATTAAAAATGCTGAGAGTATTGTGTTAATAAAACCCTAAAGATTGAAGTTAAAAATCTGGGTTCTGTAAAAATAGTAAATCTCTTACCACAAGGCACAAAAATCTTACTGAAAATAAAAGCAGCTCTATATTGTTCTTTGTTTGACCTAACAAGCTTTTCCCTTCCAAAGGCTAGGAATATAAGCCCCTTTGCTTTCTTTAATCAGAATCCTGTTGGGAGCCTTTCAAGAGAGCAGGACATTTGTAGGGAATTTTAGAAGATAAAATTCATCTTAAAAGGCTTGCAAAAGTTTCTTCCTTCTTTCTTTCTTTCAGAAGTTTAGCTCTTGAAGTTTCTTCCCAGTTTTTTTTTTTTTTGCCCTGCCACATTTTGGAATTATCCTGCTATGACTGTGGAAAGTAATAGTGAGCTTCCATCAGTCTTTTCACAGAAGGAACACAACATTATTGCAGCATACTTGATCGCAGCAGGTATGAACATTGAATGTATTTGGTTAAGAAAATATTGGGGTATTGCACTTAATAAAAAAATTATCACTTCATGTTTTTCAGCTTTAATTAAACATAAGCAAAGAAATGTGAAGTTTGAAAATGGATTGCTATTATTTGGATTTGAAGGCAAAAAGTACTTTAGAATACCCAGTGATATGCAAATAGCCTCTATGTGCAGCTTTTTAAATCAAGTACTTTTTTCAGGTTGAGATTGCTTTAAGGCATTCCAGATAAATTCTGCTTTTGCTCCTTAATACACTCTGAAGCCCTTTTTTGCTTTCAAAATGGAAGTTCTGCACACTCTAATCTTTATAAGTCTTCCATAGTCCCTTAAAATCTGGGCAGTATAGTATCTCAGTGATGGAAAAACCTGTTTTGCATGCAGAAGTTCTGTGTTCCTGGCAGCTCTGAATAAGGGGCTGGAATTCCCCTGCCTTTAGGGCTAATACCTGTAACTAAGACAATACCTGATACTTTGTAGAGCAACTTCTTGGATTTTAATTTTAAACCCATTTAGCTAGATGTTAACATAGTTGAGTTCACTGAAACTTGCTTTGATGTAGACCTATCTAATACTATACTAAATTAAATGTATCAAGTTAAGCTAATATTTAAAGAAAGAAATGGTGCATATGTTTGGGATTAATAAAATGTTGCGGATGGGAGCTTTTCCCCTCAGAGAAACAAATTCAAATTAAATAGCAAGATTGTTGGCTTTCAGTCTTAGGTATTTAACTCCCATCCATTATTCCTGTCAAAATGCATCTTTTAATTAGTCACATTTGCAGAACTGACTGTTTCATAGATTAGATGATCATATTTTAAGCTAATATGTTGTCAAACCTAATTCTTATGGTTAATTTATGATTCACGGTATAACCCAGAAAATTGGGATGACTAAATGTATGCTGTAAACACATCCTGTCTAATTCATATTGTATTCTCCCATATTTTGGTTTTGTGATGGGGGTAGAGATGGAATTCTACTATCCTCTTTGAGTTGATACCAGTAAAATTTGAATTAAGCAATTAATCAGTAGTAACATTGTATTCATGAACAATAACTTTTTTTTTAATTTCCATAATGGGATCACAGAGTATCATGTTGGCTAATAGTTCCCAATTTTAAAATGTGTGGATTTCAACTTCTAGAATTCCCCAGCAAGTGCGTAAATGGATTTCTGCCCATAAATTATGTTCATTATTTTTTAATTTTTAACATCTAAATGGGGCTGGTGATAAAATATCTATTTAACACTGTTCTTGCTTTACTCAAGCTCAAGCATAATGTGTATAAACTCTAACTGGATTGGTTCACATATGATAAGACATCAGTTACAATTAAAAATCATAATTGTTGGGTTCAGGAAACATCGCCAAGTCAAAGATTTTAGTATTGTGTGTGAATTTAGCCTATTTTTAATTATTGGTAACTATGAATCAGTTGTTGACTCTTGATGACTGCTTGGATTAGTCCCTGCAGTTTCCTTGGCAAGGTTTTTCAGAAATAGTTTGCCATTGCCTTCTTCCTAGGGCTGACGGGAGATCACCCAGCTGGTTTTGTGCCTAAGTAGGGACTAAAAGTCACAGTGTCATTCATGGTTTCTAACCTGATGTCTTCACCATTATGTCAACCTGGCATGAAACTAATGCTTAATTAAGTTTTTTTAAAGGATGATGATGAGATGATGATTGTTATGTCCTGAGCCTTGCAAGCAGGCTCGGGGCATTGCAGGCGGTCCCGGGCAGGTGCAAGCTGCCCGGGACCAGACAGGCTGTCGCCAGTGCTTGTGCACATGCGCAAGTGCTGGCGCGCGAAAAGTAACACATTGACCCGGGAAAGTCCTATAAAAGGAGGCTGCGAGTTGTGGGCTTTTGCCGCCATATTCCAATGTAAGCTGAACTGAAGAATAAAGGTTTCCTGAGAACTACAACTGCTTCTCGTGTCTTACCATTTCGTGACGGACTCAACACTGGCGACGAGGATGGGATCGCCTTACATCAAAGAAGAGAAGGTGTAAGCTTACCCGAGTGAGTCTGGAGCGGCAGGAACGGCGTTGACTCGGCAGCTACCCGCCAATCCAGCGTGCATTCGGGGGTAGGCTGGCTGATAGACCCTTCCTGATACGAAATGGCGAAGATTGGAAGGCTTTCGGAATTCGACGTCTCACATCCAGAGAGGTGGGAGTCCTACGTAGCCAGGGTGGAAAACTACCTCAAAGTGAACCAGGTGAGGGAAGAGAGCTTGAAGGCTGCCACCCTGTTGTGCGTTTGCAGTCAAGACGCATTGAAATCGCCGAGAACCTCGCAGCACCTGTTCCTTTAGAGTCTGTCAGCTACGCAGATCTAAAGAAGTTACTGAAGGAGCACTTCCAACCCAAGATGTCCGTCATCGCGTGGCGCCACACCTTCGAGCAGAGGGATCAACGACCCGGAGAATCGGCCAAGGAGTACATCGCCGCACTGAGGAAAGCCGCCAAACATTGCGAGTTCAAGGACCTCGAAGAACGACTGAGGGACCGATTTGTGTGCGGGCTAAGGCATCGAGAGTTACAACAGAGACTTTTCGCCAAGGAGAACTTGTCTTTCCAAGATGCCTTGAGAGAGGTCACCGCAGAAGAAGCATTGGGCGGCGCCATCAAGAACATGCGGCCGATCAGAAATAGTCCAGATGCTGCATCCGTGCACCAGGAAGAAGTCCAAAGGAACTCCGAGGAGGATCCGGACGAGGAAGTGGACCGTCTCCACCCCACAAAGGAAGGGAAACCAAGAGGAAGCTCTTCAGCTCTCCCCAAGTGCATCGGTTGTGGAGGTCGCCACAAGAGAGTCGACTGCAAGTTCCGCTCCGCTATCTGCTGGGCGTGCGGAAAACAAGGACACATTGCAGCTGTGTGCCTGGGCCATCAGAAGGTACAACCACAGGAAGAATTGCGCCTGAAAGGTACCAGGGTCCCCAGCCAGAATAGGGTGGGGTTTTGCACTTCGCAAAGAAGCATCTACAGGACAGGCACACACAAGCCCATTAAGAAAAAGCTGTCACTTAAGGTGAAGCTACAAGGGGTTCCATTAACTATGGAACTGGACACGGGGTCTGCACTTTCGATCATTTCTATGCACACATTTAGGAAGATTTGTTCCGGCAGTGGAACCCAGGCAAAGTTGAGGCCTTCTGACATTGTGCTAACGGATTTTCAAAACTCCAGAGTGTGTGTTAAGGGGGAGGCCACCCTTAACGTACAGTATAAGGATTTTGAGGGTCCACTAGACCTACTAGTAGTAGAGGGTGATCGAACGAGTCTCATAGGACTCGAGTGGTTTGAGGCCTTGGGGATACACATCACAGGGCTCAACAGCCTACAAACACTCGACCTACAGGAAGTCTGCAAAGAATTTGCAGACGTTTTCAGCCCCCAGCTGGGCACATTCCAAGGACCCCCTGTGTCATTAAAGTTAGACCCCACAGTCATTCCCATTAGAATTAAAGCAAGAAGGGTCCCTTTTACTTTAAAGAGTAAAATTGACACTGAGTTGGACAAACTGATCCAACAAGGAATTCTAGAACCTGTTGACTCCAGTCCATGGGAGACCCCCATTGTCACGCCTCTTAAGGCAAATGGGGACATTCGCATCTGTGCTGATTACAAATGCACTCTAAATAAGGCATTGCTGAAAGGCTAAGGGCTGTCCTGTTAAGGTTCAGGCAAACGGGACTCAAACTCAAGAAGGACAAATGTAAAATTGGGGTACCTTCTACTGAGTTTCTGGGGTTCAAAATTGATGCTGCTGGGATTCATCCTGCTGAATCCAAACTAAAAGCCATTATGCAAGCCCCTAGGCCAAAGTCTAAGGCCGAACTACAGGCTTTTCTGGGCCTTCTGAATTTCTACAATTCCTTTCTTCCACATAAGGCTAGTGTAGCTGAGCCTCTTCACAGGCTATTAGACAAACAGGCAGTGTGGCAGTGGTCTCAAACACATGAGACTAGTTTCAATGAGGTCAAGGCCTTGTTCACTTCTAACAGTGTACTTGCGCACTTCAATGAGTGCCTTCCTGTGTGCATCGCTTGTGATGCTTCCCCTTATGGGGTGGGTGCTGTACTGAGCCACCTCAGGGCTGATGGAACTCAGGTTCCTGTTGCATATTACTCCAGGACATTGTCTTCAGCTGAGCGCAACTATGCTCAAATAGACAGGGAGGCCTTAGCTGTTGTTGCTGGAATTAAAAAATTCCATGATTTTTTGTATGGAAGGCATTTCACGGTCTTCACTGACCATAAGCCTTTGTTGGGACTGTTTACCACACGTAAACAAACTCCCCAAATCATCTCCCCCAGGATGCTCAGGTGGTCTATCTTTTTGTCTGCATATGATTTTTCCCTACTTCACAAGGCTGGAAAGGAAATGGGCCATGCTGATGGCCTCAGTAGATTACCCCTGCCGGTAATAGAGGCTGACCCGCGCCAGCCATCAATATTCTCTCCATTCAAGCCTTGCCCGAGTCCCCCCTGAATGCCAGGGATGTAGCCGCTGAATCAGGCACAGATCACACACTCTCACGTGTCCTTTCTTGGGTTTTGTCTGGATGGCCTGAGCACTGTCCTAGTCCTGAGTTTCAGAGTTTCTGGTCTAAAAGGAACGAGTTGTCCACCTCTCAGGGTTGTCTGCTTTGGGGAAGCAGAGTTGTCATTCCCACCTCAATGAGGACTAGGGTCTTAAATTCCCTCCACGAGGGTCATCCTGGCATTATACGAATGAAGGCTCTTGCCGCAGCCACTTGTGGTGGCCAGGTGTAGACAAAGACATAGAAGCTAAGGTGCATGCTTGTCAACGCTCACGCCCTGAAATGCCCCAAGCTCCTGTGCATAGATGGGAGGAAACACTGTCTCCATGGTCTAGGGTGCACATTGACTACGCTGGGCCCTTTCAGGGTCAATTCTTCTTGGTCCTCGTTGACAGCCATTCAAAATGGCTTGAGGTTGTACCTGTCTCTTCCACCACCACTGCAAAGACTATTCAGGTACTGAGGGGGATTTTTGCTGCACACGGGCTCCCAGACGTCATTGTGTCTGACAACGGCCCTCAATTCACTTCCTCCGAATTCCAAGCTTTCTTGCAGGCTAACATGATTGTCATGCCACTTCTGCACCTTTCCACCCGTCCACCAACGGTATGGCTGAACGCATGGTTCGCATCACCAAGGACGCCTTGAAGAGGCTCACCTACGGGGACTGGCATCACAGGTTGGCTGACTTCCTCCTTTCTTATCGCACCACACCGTCCACTTCTACAGGGAGAAGCCCAGCTGAACTTCGTTGGGGGCGCAAACTGACTACCAAGCTTGACCGGTTGCATCCGGACAGACTGCCTCCTGCTGTCTCACACCCCAGGGCACCTAGGCAACTACTTGTGGGTGCCCCTGTTTGGACTCGTAATTATGGGCCTGGTCATACATGGGTCCCCGCATCTATATCCAGGGTCACAGGTCCTCTATCCTACGAGGTATCCCTGGACAACGGTCGTGTCCTGCGTCGGCACATTGACCAACTTCGCCCTAGACGGGACCTTCCCGCTGACACTCCTGGGTCTTTTCCAGGGGGGAGGGGGAGCCCTTTGGGCAAAGGGAGGGGCATGGAAGGATGCCCATTATCAATGGGGAAGCCACAATCAGCCCATCCTGAGATTCCGCAATTGCTCCCAACAGGAAGTCAGGGAGCAAAACTAGAACCCAGGCATCAATGCCTACTCCAGCCAGGGAGTCACCCCGGGGGCATGATCACTTCTCACCCGCATTACCCAGTACTCCAGTCAGAGAGAATACCTGGGAGCATCCCAACAATCCATTCCCTGCAAGAGAGTGGCACACACTCCTCCTAGTTGGCCTGACTTCAACCCTGTCCTTAGAAGGGGGCAAACACACAGGGAGTGGTCGAGGAACCAAATCCCGACCACAACACCTCTGACTACACTCAGGGGACAACTGAGTTTTGGGACAGTACTGAAACCCACACAAGCCCGGACACAGAACGGGATTCAGGGGATAGATAGCCTCCTGACAGGTCTTGGACAGACCTAGGAGGTTCTACAGAAATGCCCAACAGTGACAGTCACTTAGAAGGGCCAGAGAGCCTACAGCTAGGCGGGACAACCAGGTCATACACTGGAAGAAGCCCTGGCCTGATGAGCCCGGTGGGCAAGCAAGCAGGCCAGGCATTGGAGCACAGTCCTTGGGAGTCACCAAGGCATAACAAGGGGAACAGACACACATCACCCCTCAGTCAGGGGGTACCTGTCAGACACCCAGAGCTTAGGAGGTCACAGAGAGCAAGGAAATCTCCTAAGTACTTAGAGGATTACATAACACTATTGGCTAAACAGAGCCAGTAGAAGGGTAGAAACACTGAGGCAACATGGAGGGGAGCAGAGCATTGTACTAAGAGTGGGTTGTGTATTATTGGCATTGGTCATAGTTTTAGCCCGGGGGAAAGGGGTGTTATGTCCTGAGCCTTGCAAGCAGGCTCGGGGCGTTGCAGGCGGTCCCGGGCAGGTGCAAGCTGCCCGGGACCAGACAGGCTGTCGCCAGTGCTTGTGCGCATGCGCATGTGCTGGCACGCGAAAAGTAACACATTGACCCGGGAAAGTCCTATAAAAGGAGGCTGCGAGTTGTGGGCTTTTGCCGCCATATTCCAATGTAAGCTGAACTGAAGAATAAAGGTTTCCTGAGAACTACAACTGCTTCTCGTGTCTTACCATTTCGCGACGGACTCAACAATGATGATGATGAGATGATGGTGACGATGGCAACAACAATAATGATGATCTTAGTCTCTTTGTAGATAGTATGAAACTCAGATTAGGTCTATTAAGACTAACATTTCTAAAGTTTATTCCCCATTTTTTATCTTTTGACAGGAATCATAAGTCTTCTCAGTAATATTGTTGTTTTAAGCATCTTCATTAAATTTAAGGAACTTCGAACACCAAGCAATACTATTATCATTCACCTGGCTTTTACGGATATTGGAGTGAGTAGTATTGGTTATCCCATGTCTGCAGCTTCAGATCTGCATGGAAGCTGGAAATTTGGCTACTTGGGTTGCCAGGTAACTTGAGTATTACAACAATGGATCACATTACACATATTGTATGTAGCCCTGTTCAAATAAGTGTTCAGAAACAGATAACAAAACAAACTGTTGCTAAGTGTTTCTACCAGTTCTTTTTAGCATGAACAGTTGAACAACACATCTCTTTCCATTAGTATGTTTGTGGCAAAAAAACACAAAACACTCTTCTGTGAACTACTACTAAGTATCTGTGAGCTTTGGTGCTAGAAAGAAATCATTACCAAAAGACAAGCAAATCCAAAGAAAAAATTAAATTGTTGAAAATATATTCCTTGGTCCATAAATTAAAAAGACAAACTCTTTTCATAAAAAGGATTATTTAGGTGGACCTAAATTAAATACATTACATATTTACAAACAAAATTATATTATTAATTATTTTAATAATTAATAATTATTTTATTTGAGAGGTTGGGGTTTGTTTGAGGAAGATACATATACAGTAGAAGAGGACTGTTTGTTAATATAGCATAGCAAGCACCTTGCTCACCACCTAACTCTTAAGTCTTGGCATCTCTTCTTAAAAGAACTGAGTAATGGGGAATATCAAATAAAAAAACAAAACTAGATAGAGTAATTATCTAACCTGTCTCCTACTTTAGAAGGAATACATTAATATACTTTATCCCAACAAATGTGTGCTGACATTCCACTTTGATTAAATTGAATTAGGATTGTAGAATTATTAATTTTTTTTAAAAAAAAATAGCATTATGATCAGCTCTATTTCTACAATACTTTGTCCCAGAGATATTGCTGGGAACTCTTAAAGTTATAATCCCAACATATCTGCCAAGTTTCAGGAAGTTATCTTATTTTTCTATATATTATAAACGTGTTGTATCTATTTTGCTTTTAAAATACTACCCAAATTATTTCTCTAGTAGCTGAAAATGAGTGTGCAAGTTAATATCACAATTGTCGCTAGATGGCTGTCTTGAGTAGCACAGTAAAAACATTTTTGTTTCTAACTCTTCCTTGAAACTAGGGGCAGCTGATTGTGACAACCTCGTGGAGAAACAGCATGGTCCAAAGGCAGAATATATGCTTTGTATTCCAGTGGTCATGAATGCAAACCCAGTAACTCCTGTTAAAAGAATTAGGGCTTAGATTATAGGAAAGGCCTCTTCTGAAGTATTGTTGACAATAAGAGAAGGCAAAACTGAGCTCTACATCAGTGGTTCTCAACCTGTGGGTCGCCAAACAACGCAGTCTGCCATTTTCCCCCCCTTTTCCTTAGCTGTGCTACTCCCTTTTATTCTATTGGCTTTTGAAAGCCAATAGAATAGACTCTCTTGAATACAGTCTAATTCTATTGGCTTTCAAAAGCCAATAGGAATTGTCCAGGCTGTCTCTGTCCTGCTGAGCCCACCAAAATCCCATTCTGCAAACAGTGCTGCACCAGTTGTGTAGTCCTCGACTTACGACTGGTTGAGTAGTCCTCGACTTATGACCCGTTGGGGGTCGCGGCATTAAAAAGGTTGAGAACCACTGCTCTGCATGTTCTCTTCTGTTACCCAATGAACAGGAAGCCCTGTCTCATTGTCTGGAGGCTGCATGGGTCTGGATGAGGGAACAGACTCAGATTCTATCCTGCCAAATAGCTGTGGGCTTTTGTTTCCCCTCTCCCAATCTTAGAACTTAATTATTGTTAGCCTTAGATGGGATTGTACTCTTTACCTCAAAATTAGCACACAATGTGTGCATCATTTTGGACTCCTGCTTGAAGGGTAGCAGTTTTGGCTAATAAGATCTTTGTCCAGCTACATCTAGTGTGTCAATTCTGCCTACTCGTAGATTGTGAGGTCCTTCTAATGGTCACTCACAGTTGGACTATTGCAATGTGTTCTACGTGGACAGTCCATGAAGACCACCTGGAAACTACATCAGATCTTAAATCCACCAACAACATAACTTTGGGCATGTGTTAGTATACCAATGTGATATCAGTTCTATAAGATCACACTGATTGCAAGTGAGCTTCCATTTGCAATTCCAGGTGCTGGTTATCATCTATAGAGTCCTTCATAGCATAGGGTCAGGTTATCTGAGGGACTGCCTATCTCCCATAAGATCAGGCAATGTTAGTGTATTTTGGGTCCAATTGCTGTGGATATAATTTACTTGGACTTCAATAAGGCATTTGGTAAAGTAGACCACAACCTACTATTTGATAAGATAGAAAAATGTGGGTTAGACAGCATCACCACCAGATGGATTCGTAGCTGGCTGACTGGCCATACTCAGCGTGTGGTCCTCAATGGAACTGCATCTACATGGAGGGAAGTGTATAGTGGGGTGCCCCAGGGCTCTGTTCTGGGCCCAGTGCTCTTCAACAACTTCATCAATGATTTGGATGAGGGGATAGATGGGAAACTCATCAAATATGCAGACGACACCAAGCTGGCAGGAATAGCCAACATTCCAGAAGATAGGCTTAAGATACAGAAGGATCTTGACAGACTTGAACATTGGGCACTATCTAATAAAATGAAATTCAATGGTGAAAAACATAAGGTTCTATATTTAGGCAAGAAAAACCAAATACGCAGGTATAGGATAGGTGGTACCTTGCTCAATAGTAGCAACTGTGAGAGGGATCCTGGAGCCCTAGTGGACAATCACTTAAATATGAGCCAGCAGTGTGCTGCAGCTGCCAAAAAAGCCAACACAGTGTTGGGCTGCATTAACAGAGGGATAGAATCAAGATCACATGAAGTATTAATACCACTTTACAATGCCTTGGTAAGTTCACACTTGGAATATTGCATCCAGTTTTGGTCACCATGATGTAAAAAAGATGTTGAGACTATAGAAAGATAACAGAGAACAGCAACAAAGATGATCAGGGGACTGGAGGCTAAAACATATAAGGAACAGTTGTTGGAATTGGGAATGTCTAGTCTAATGAAGAGAAGGACAAGGGGTGACATGATAGCAGTGTTCCAATATCTCATGGGCTGCCACAAAGATGAGCAGGTCAAGCTATTTTCCAAAGCACCTGAAGGCAGGACAAGAAGCAATGGATGGAAACTAACCAAAGGGAAAAGCAACCTAGAACCAAGGAGAAATTTTCTGATAGTTAGAACAATTAATCAGTGGAACAACCTGCCTCCAGAAGCTGTGAATGCTCCAACACTGGAAGTTTTTAAGAAGAGACTGGACAGCCATTTGTCTGAAATGGTATAGGGTTTCCTGCCTGAGCAGGAGGTTGGACTAGATGATCTCCAAGGTCCCTTCCAACTTTATTATTATTATTAACCAGTGCTATTTATAAGGATCCAGAAAGTGTGCCTTCTGTGTTGGCACATACCTCTAGAATAATATCCATTACAGATAAGTTTGGCTTTTATCCTGAGGATGTTCTAGGAACCTTTAAAAAGTTACTGTTTTCCCAAGCCTTGGGACAGGACACTTGTGGAGCCTTATTTGCTGTATATTCTAATATTAGGAATGTGCTTATCCAGACACACTTTTCATTATTTTCAATGTTTACTCTTCCACATTCAACGCCCCAGTTTTAATAAAATAATAAAATAAGTAAACAGAATAACTCAGTGTTAAGCTTGGCTTTACTAATTAGCTGAAAATTATAATGGGGCATTAAGCAAATGGATCTTCCTGTAGATATCTGTGTAGAAGAAAAAATGTTTCTTGATGATTGTAAAAAAAGAGCCTAATGTTAGACTTTTGAAAGCAACCAATATTATTTTTAAACATTTAAACCATGTATTATTTCTTAAATTCTAGATTTATGCTGCTTTAAATATCTTCTTTGGAATGGCAAGCATTGGTTTACTTACTGTTGTCGCCATAGATCGTTACTTGACAATCTGCAAGCCACAAATAGGTATGATGTTCGGTATTCTGCAATAAAGGCATACCGTGTTTCAGTATAGATTTTGGTGATTTGTTTTGTGGGAAATCCCATATTTTGGAACTCTATATTATTTGAATTTATACTTTTGTAGTAAAGTATAAATCTCATGAAAGTTGAGTTTGACTCTTGCTGAATTTCATATCCATTTTTATGACAATAATGTTGAAATGGTTTGGCATTACTTTTTCCAGAATGTTTTTGGTCTACTTGTATTATCTGTTGCTTGTAGATAACAGAAATAGTTGTAGAAACAAAACCTGTAAAAAATTGCTCTTTTGAAAACATACTTGGTTAATTTTGCTCTTGAACTTTGGAGGATTACATAACAAAACCTACCTCTGTTTTGATTTCAGAGATAATAAGTTTCTTTTTTATTTTTTTCCTATTTCTTAACTGCCCACACTCTTAATTGTGTGAATGACTGAAGATAGAGCAAGAAGTCAGAGGGTATAAAAAATTGGAAGTGTCAGAAAGAAAACAGTTATAGAATTGAGCATTGGCTGCTATTATAGAGTAAGAACAGGCCAAGGAATCTGGTTCTGTAAATATCAGAGTCCCTGCAAATATCTTAATACTGAATTGCTAACATCCCTGAAGCACCTGACCTAAATTCTTTTATCAATGGGAAGCTCTGATAACATGCTTCACATCATTAAGAAGTCAAGCACTGTAATCTTCGAGCATTTTAGAAGATTAGAACAATGTATGAAGGCAGCCAAGTGCTATGTTTGGAAGCATGGTCACCTTTTGAGCGAGAAATAAAGGTTGAAGAAGTTATGTTCTGTGCAGGCAGAAATTAGCTGGGAATATAGAAATAGCATTGGACTTGTATGCAGCTTCCCATGCTTTACAGCCTCTCTAAGTGGTTTACAGAGTCAGCAAATTGCCCCCAACAATCTGGGTCCTCATTTTACCGACCTCAGAAGGATGGAAGGCTGAGTCAACCTTGAGCCGCTCAGAATTGAATTCCTGAAGTGAGCCATGAGCTAGCCTGCAATACTGCATTCTAACTATTGCGCCACCACGGCTCTTATAATATAAATATATTTATCCATTTCCCTTTTCATAAATACAGATTTTGTAAATACTAATCTAATTGTAACTGTTGTAACCATATTGTGAGAGTACCTCTTATGAATAGGTCAATTGCATCAAAAAAATTTTTTTAGGCATCTGTAGTTTACAATAGACTGGAATCAGACTGTAAAGCTCAGGATGTTGATAGGGACAAAAATCGTATGATTGTTTTGCTCTGACCCCCTTTTTATACTTAGTTTAGGAACATGATGAAGCAATTTGCTAAACTTACACCCTAGTTTAGTCAATGTTTAGTTGGAAGACTATCAAGCAATTATTTATTAAATATAGCACAATGAAAAAACATTAACAAATGGGTATTTTTTTAAAATATAAACTATCTGGAGGGAACCAGGTTAAAAAAAGATTCTTTCAGAATATAGTTAGGGAAATGTTCTCAGCAACTTTCTCAATTTTTTAATCAATGTTTGTAATGTGTGTATGGTCATATCATATATCATATCATACTATAAACACACAAAGTATAAGTATGCAATTTTCAATGAGGGAAGTTAGTTGCTTAGATGTCGTATAGATGTGAACATGAATTTAATGTCTGAGTAGTTTGATTTGTGTATTTATAAAATTTTCATTGTAACTTTTGTATTCTTTGCTTTCGAGTAGTAAAGTACAAATGAGAGGAAAGAATAAATAGTGATGATGTTTGGTTTGCCAACAGGTAACAAACTAACTACTCACAACTATATTGCCCTGATTTTTGCTGCCTGGACCAATGCAGTCTTTTGGGCCTCCATGCCTTTGGTAGGATGGGCAAACTATGCCCCAGATCCAACTGGAGCTACCTGTACCATAAACTGGAGAAAAAATGACACGTATGTTCTTTTTATGGTGAAGTAGAACATTCACGATTATAATTTTGCACTGTTATAATATCACTGAAGCTTTAAAACCCTAAAGATTTGAACAAGCATTGAACAGTTTGGAAGGAAACTACAGTCTTATAAATCACTCAGGGAGAAAATTTCATCCATAATGGTTAAATCTGATACAGCCAGGACACAAGAGGACTACCAAGAGAAATTTGGGTCCATTTATTGTTTTCTGATGAATAACTAATGACGTATTTATTTTAGTATTAACCTTACGTCTTGAAGAAAAGAATATTTATATAGGCTGGAAACAAAAGCCAACATAATATGTCTAACTCTTAGCAAGGCTCAGTAAAAAAGGCCAATGGATAAGCAGAAGCAATAAAAAAAGCAGAGAGTCCTTAACAGGTGTGAAATTTGGGTAGCTCCTGCTTTCACAGACAGTTGTGTTAGATATGGATATAGGCTCAGCAGAGGCAAATGGGTAGTGTCAACTGATATAAGTACAAAAGTGTGGAGCTTGCATTGGGATCCCACAACGCATGTTTCATTATTTTGGAGTAACTGTGGCTAGCAGTGGACACTTCTGAATCTTGCACATATTTACTTGGGAGCCTAATGATAGAATTTCTACTGAGTGAGTACTGGATTACTGCCTAAACCACTTCAATAAATAGCTATGTTTAGAATATTAACTATCAACCAATCCATCTACTTAAGTTCCACATAATTTTAGAACATCCTCAGGTATTTGTGTCAATACTACCAATAAAGAAAGTTTTTCAGTCATCTACTTGGTCTTTTTCACTTTCAGATCCTTTGTTTCTTACACTATGTCAGTAATTGCTGTCAATTTTGTCATCCCCTTATCCATCATGTTTTACTGTTACTACAATATCTCTCAAACTTTGAAGCGATACACCAGGAATACTTATATAGAAAGCATCGAGGTAGATTGGTCAGATCAAGTTGATGTTACAAAGGTAAGGTCATGATGTAAGAATACCTTTTTTCTCCCACAGAATTATTTTGTGTATGATGCCGAATATACATCATGTTCTCTCTCTCTCTCTCTCTCTCTCTCTCTCTCTCTCTCTCTCTCTCTCTCTCTCTCTCTCTCTCTCTCTCAAAATCAGACAAAAATTAATATTACTTTAGGTAAGAAATATAAACATTCTCATGAAGATCATTTGCGCTTGACTCTTTTATGTTTTTCTATCTCATACCTTCTTTGTATTGTAAATTCTTCACATCATTCTATTTTTCTTCATTGTCTATTTGTGATGTGGCTTACATGGGATATACAACATTTATATGTAATACTGTTATGTTCACACCAAACACATATGTATGCATGTATGTATTAGGGGGAGGAAACCAGTTTTTAGATAAAAGAATAACCTATACTTAGCACATCCAATAACCAAAAACTTTGTGAATAGTAATTTAGATTTATTTATTATTTATTTGTTAAATTTATTTCCACGTATCTCTCCATGGGGCTACTTTAGGTGGCTTACAACAATAAAAAGGAAGAAATGAAAAGACTGTAAACAGAATGGAAATAAAATAATAGAACAATTAAATAAACAATGAAAAAGAACACAAATCAATAAACAAAAAGATGGTCAGGTGGAGAGCAAAACGGGGGAGGTGGAGAATGCCATCAGTCTAGCAGCCACTTCCAGTGTGGAATCACCCCATCTGGTCCCCAGGCCAACCAGAGAGCCAGGTGTTCAGGCCCTTGTGGAAGGACAGGAGGGCAGCGGTGTCAAACTTGCAACGTTGCATGATGTGTCGCGATGTATTGCGACTTTTTTCCCATTGCTGGCAATGGGGTGGGCGCGGTTTTGCTATGATGCATCCAGCCCATGGGCCGGCAGTTTGACACCCCTGCCTTAGAGGGTAAGATGTTCCAAAGAGCAAGCGCTGCTAAATGGATACTAAATATGCCTGTCATATTTTCTAAGTGTGCTCATTTTCAAAAAATTGTTATGGAAATATTTGAGCTTAATGTTTGCAATCAGTCATATGTGTGGAAATCATGTGTTAGCAGATCTTTGTAATATGGGTGAGATGTATAACTATGCAAGTGCGAAGAAAGAAACCACAAAAGTATTGAGACAATACCAACTATTTGTGCTCCAGTTTGTTGAGTTCTGATTTACAATTTCTTGAGAAACCAGCATACAATACAGCCACCCAGAGTCACTTTGTATAGTGAGAGGGGTCGCATAATAAATAAATCAACAAACAAGAAAGCAAACAAACAAAGCTAGGGAAGGGGATCAGGCTTAAACAAATTGGCATTTAGTTTATAGTCTCAGATAAGAGACATCAAGCAATACCATTTAAGCATAAAAAACAGGCTTCACAGTAAGGCATTTAGAAAGCTTTATGTATAGATTGCAAAGAATTAAAATTGTAGAATTTAACACTAAATTCTAAACTTAAAAAATGTATGCTTGGACAGAGGAAAAGTTGGAAGAAGAGACTAAAAGTTTATTTTCCCCACACTTGCATGGAGAAACAATTCAGGGCAATGCAGAACATTTTTGAGAGCTGTCCAGGCATTATACTTGGGAAGAGAAAAAAAATGAACTTGGCTACAGGACTGAATAACAATAAGAGCAAAGGAGAAGAGGGAGGGAGGGAGGGAGAGAGAGAGAGAGAGAGAGAAAGAAAGAGAGAGGGGGAGGGAGGGAATAAATCTTGTGGGCAGAGGTTTGTATGATCTTGTAGCAGAACTAGCTCCTCCCTCTCCACCCGCTTTGTTCCATCAAGAAATGGTGGCTGTAATTTTTGTGTGTCCTTGGATAACATTTAGAATTACTTAAGTCAAAGCTTGTGTTACCTGAGGTGGCCTGCAAATTGAGATATAAGGCCATATGGAAATTCTCTACAACATACTTTCTTAATTAGCACAGATTATAACTTCTGCTTCTATTAGGAGTGCTATAATACAGTATATCTGGAGGACGTAGAAAAAAGAATGACTAGGCCAGGGGTAGGCAAACTTGGCTCTTTTATGACTCATGGACTTCAACTCCCAGAATTCCTGAACCAGCATGGCTCAGCTTGGAAACCTCTCCCTTTCCCCTCAGCATGGCTGGCTCAGGAATTCTGAGAGTTGAAGTCCACGAATCATAAAAGAGCCAGGGTTGCCTACCCCTGGACTAGGCAGAATGCAAGTTCGAGGAAGAAAACAAACTGATACTTAAGACAGAATTAACACAAATATTAAGGAGTTACAACATTTTTGTTTTTGTTTACAGATGTCTGTTGTCATGATTTTGATGTTTCTGTTGGCTTGGTCTCCATATTCTATTGTGTGTTTATGGTCTGCATTTGGAGACCCAAAGAAAATTCCCCCCACCATGGCAATCATAGCCCCATTGTTTGCAAAATCATCTACTTTCTATAACCCCTGCATTTATGTGATTGCAAACAAAAAGTAAGTGGCTCTATTGCAAGATGGGGTGGGCATGATAGAAGAGGGAGACATGAGTTTTATGTAGTCCTGGAGAATGCAATATTTTTAAAGATAAGGAAACCAGTGTGGTTACAAAGTTTGAACTGGAATAGGTTTTCTTTGTAACTATATGATATTAAAATAGAATTTTATCATTGATTGTAATTGTGTATTGATTATAATTTTGCATTTATCTCACTACTTGCAATTCCCTTTCTTCCAGCACCATACACTATGTAGACTTAGCTGGTGACTAATATAACATTTCATGCAAATGATTAAAATGTGCTAATAAAAGCCTATCAACAAATTAGTTAACTATAAAAATTACACATTTTAAGCGTTCTTTGTTAATGGTGAGGATTACACATTTTTAACAAAGTTCCACGAATTGCCATTGTTGTCCAATTGCCAAGCCAGTGGCCTATTGCTGTTCTCCTTTTTCTGCCTGCCATTGTCAAGCAAACTATCTGTGATAAAAGCAAGGGAAGAAAATACTTGCCCATTGCCCCAGAAGTTAGTATGGATTAGGTCCAGAGGAAGAAGCATGAGAATAAGCAGTAGCAAAGGTACAGGTATCAGATTTGTAGCAAAGATCTTGACAATGACCCTATGGCAGTAAAGAATTAGAGATTAGACAAAATATTTCTTCCTATGTTGCCTGGATCTTCTGCTAATATTTTTTTATCAGACACTTAAAACATTTCCCCCTCTTGTAGGTTTCGAAATGCCATCCTTGCATTAATCCAATGTCAAGTACAACAAGAGGTAACAATCAACATCTTGCCAATGCATTTATCTCAAAGTACAATTGCATAAAGATACAGCTTTAAAGCCTATCCACTCATCTTGTTTTTTGCCTTGCAAAGAAAGTTAGAACTACTTCACATGAAACTATGTACTGATGTATAATAACTTTGTCGTCTGCTGATTCTATTTGACTTTATGGTTACTATGTGATACTAGAATGATGCATACACCATGTCTTTTGTTTCATATGAGACTCAAGGTTTCTGGAATCCAATTCTCTGCTTTACTGTACTTGCATAATGGTTCTTTGGATTATACTATGAATATATATACCTAAAACCAATTCTACATTAGTGTGATTAGTATAGTTGAATAATTAATACATGAGTATTTTTTCAATAGTCACTATTCAATTTTGAAATGTAAACTGCTTCAGTGAGAAATCCACTAAAAAGTGTAATAAAGTTTTCTCTTTCTATTGCTAAAAACATTCAATGACCCTGGGGGGGGGAAAAACATTTCTTATACCTTCTGTTACTAATTTTTGTTTTTTGCAAAGTTATTGTTGCCAAACATATTAACGTCTATTAAAAGAAATGTTTAAAATAAAGCAATTGTTGGAGAACTAAGCAAATATTTGCTTTAGAAATGAATAAACGGTTTAAGTTTCTGTCAATAGGTTACTCAGATTTGTTAAATGATCATTTGTACCATCGGCTACTTAAAAAAAATTGCTTTTCTGTACATTTTTACCAGTATCTTTAAATTACAGATCTGCAATTGTTGTTTAAAAAGTAATAATGTAATTTTTAAACAACATATAGTAAATAATAAAGCAATTTGGAGATCCAAAGACTTCCACTTCAAGCCTTTCCTGCATTATAGTCATCTTAGCATAGTGTAGTTATTCAAACAACAGAACTGAGTTTTTAGAGGAATAATTATACTCACTATATCAGTGTTAATTTTAAATTGCACTTGCAATTTTTAAAAAAAATTGTAGTACCTAACTTCTTTTTTCTAGTAGTCTTGCTTTCAAGATGGATATAATTTTACTAATAATGCATTCCTTCTTTGACACAATAAAGAACTAGTGGTGTCAAATGAGCATTTGCAGAGAACCTTTGAAGGTTAAGTAATTGCAGATCTCAGATAATCCAGGGTAATCTCCTCTGACTAAATGGAAGCTACATGCGCAAGCTTGGAACCCAGGATGATTGTCTAGGAGTAAAAGATCTTCGATTTTGGATTTACCTATTGCCTTGGAAAGAAACCATGCATCTGCTTGCTGCTGTTTGTATCATGATGACCATTTTGGAAGGAGTGGATAGTTTCTGCCCTTCTCAGTGCAGCTGCATTTACCATGGCATGAGTGATGGAACCAGAACAAGGTATTTGTTTTCTTGACTTTTCAAGTAGGTTTTATATTTGTAAGATTCCTATCTTTAGTGAATAACAACAAAAACATGTTAATGAAATTTTAAGGAGAGATTTGTATTTTTGGAAGACTGTTTTAAAATCTGGTGTAATCATGGATTGGCTTACTAGCCACCCATATCCCATCAGATTGGATGATAAGGAGAAATAGTGGGCTAGAGGTACACATAAGTATACATATGCACACACACACAAACACACACACACACACGGAGGGGGATTGAAATTCTAACCAAATTGGGCATAGTACTTATGCAGTGCTTAGCATCTATTTATGGCAATGTACCCAGGTCATGAAAAGTGAGATTCCTTGTCTAGTCTGTACATTTAAAGTTTTAGTGAAACTGTGTTGCCTAGATGTAAAAAAATACCCTTCCATTATACTATACATAAAAATATTGTGTAAAAGGATATATTTTTTTGCTCTACTGTCTTATGAAAAATTGTTTTATTTTCTTTCATAGAGAGAAGTAAGCATACTTGGCTACCCAATGTTATCCAAACAAGGTGAAGGTTTCAATGCTGTATCTGCATTATGTGGAAACCTTTTCTTGATTAAAAAAATAGGATAATATACAAAATGATTCCAAGTGAATAGGACAATAATTATAAACCTTATTAATTCCTTCACATGCCCAGTATAAAGCAAGCTTCTTCATAGTACTGGTGCTATATGCTCATGCAATTTAAAATAAAAATAAGTTTTGGCATATGCTATATTTAAAGTAATTTAATGAAGAAACCTCCTTTATAAAACAACAACAAAAGTATTTTACAAAAATGTCATGTTTTGTGTCTGATAGAAGAGATTTCACCTATTTACAGGATTGTAATGATAAAATGTGCTGAGAAAGGGAAAGATATCTAAATGCCATCCTATGTTCTTTGAAGGAGAGTTTAGGATTAATTAAATGTAATAATATCTGGGTGAAGTATATTTTAAGCCTACTTTAATTTGGGGATTGTCCTTTATTCTGTCACTTCTTTGTTCAGGCTGTCATATCTTATTTCACTATGCTTAATCCTGAAATAGTACAATTCTTATATGTGCATTTATTTTCTTAATAATTTAAAGCCCCAGTTATTAACCATAAATTTCATATAAATTATAAATGGGTGCATGAAAGGTGTTTGATGCTGATGATTCTTTATTCCTGCTACCAAAAAGAAGCAGCGCTTTTAAAATTATCATATTATAGAACAAAATTCAGTAGACAAATCAGTTGCTTTCTATGACTATATATAACTTCTTTGGACAGGGACAGAAGTGTCTTCTGTCTTCTGTATATACTTTCTCACCATTCCCCATTATTTGAAAGAAGATTTATCCAAAAGAGCCATAGCGAACACAGCTGGATTGATTTGTCAGTAGGACCACAGCTTTTTTAATGCATTGTGAAAACCTATATAACCTTAGCAGCCTCTCTTTTTTTTTTCTTATTAGGTCTGTGCTTTGTAATGACCCTGATATGTTTGAAATCCCTATCAATATTCCTGTGGACTCTGTAAAACTCCGGATAGAAAAGACAGTTATAAGAAAAATTCCAGCAGAGGCTTTTTATTACCTGGTGGATCTCAAATATCTATGGCTTACATACAACTCTATCATCAACATTGATAGCAGAAGCTTTTATAACTTAAAGCAGCTACACGAATTGCGTCTGGATGGCAACTTGTTGTTGCGTTTCCCTTGGGAATCTTTGGCTGAGATGCCCAATCTACGAACTCTGGATTTACACAATAACAAAATGACCAGTATTCCAGTTGAGGCTGGCAGATATCTGAGAAATCTCACTTACTTAGATATATCTAGCAACAAATTAACCTCCTTGCCCTCAGACCTCATGGATATCTGGCTTCCTTTTTCTGAAACAGCAATACCCAGAAATACAGATACTCTGGTCCACAGAGCCATATTAGGTAAGCATGAACAAATTGATTTCTTTCTTTGAATTGTGTCTTCTGAAAGGATTCAGAATTAGTTCATAGTATGAACTCAAATATTGTGATCAATCAGCTTCACAGTAGCTGATCAACTATTGTTCTAATACTGAACAATTGTTCTGTTGATGGCCGGGATACGCACTGGTTACAAATGAGTTTGGCATTTCATTGTTCAGCAGACATTCAATAACAAAATTAGTTAAGTCATTTTGATTATCACGTTTGTTGAAAGCTTCAGCAAGTTGAGTGCAGTCTGCCATATTCCTGAGTGGAGCAGACTTATTGTTTTCTGAATTAGTATATTCAAGCTGGACTAGTCCTCTCTGTAGACCTGTGCTATGAGATATGTTATAACAGCTGGTAAGGAATTATTGCTGGTAAGGAATTACTGCTTAATTCAACTAGGGTAGGAAGAACATTTATTCAGCCCTAGACCAAATAGTATAAAATTTCCATTTCCATTTTCATGCCTGCCCTCAATACAGCCAGGTATTATTCCATTTTCACTCTCTTTGCTTGGTAGTTAAGTAAGCACAAATTAATTTTGTAATTGTAAAAGTATGTTTTTCTAGTTTTATATATATACTGGAAAAACTTTCACAGGCATCATGGTAACAAAAAAAAAAAAGTTCAGGACGGAGTGTTGTTTATAGTAAGCAAGAATTTTCTTTCTTAGCTCCTCAAAATGTTTCAACAATCACAACAGAAATTTAGAATAAGGCTGGCTGCTTGCAATTTAAGTTGCACAAATCTTGAATAAATATTCTAACATTCTAATATTCTAACATTAAATTTATCAGAGGGAAATAGATTTGGTCCCATAATTTGCCAAATCATTTACCTTAGGCTGGAAACTGAGAAAGGAAATCCAAATGTCTTATATCATGCTAATCTAAGTGTACATTTGCTGAAGGTATTGTGACTGGATTATTTTTCCCCATTAAGGTCTGCAGGACAATCCATGGTATTGTGACTGTCGTATTTCCAAGCTGATTGAATTTTCCAAAACTGCAGATAGTGCTCTTATATTTCTAGACCCTTTTGTGGCTTGCAATGGACCTGAAAGCTTAGCTGGGATCTTGTTTCAAAGAGCAGAATTGGAGCAGTGTTTGAAGCCATCAGTAATGACTTCAGCTACAAAAATTACCTCACCCCTAGGAAGCAACGTGCTTTTACGCTGTGATGCAACTGGATATCCCACGCCAAAACTCACCTGGCTTAGATCAAACAACATACCAGTGAACTATACAGGTATAGTATGTTTAAAAATTCACCTGCTGAGAAACACCAAGATGTGTTAAAGTGATGACTTAATGTTTGAGAGGTACAAGTTCATTTCTTAGCTGATGAATTGAAATGGAGAAAAAGACTTCTACTTTAAATTAACTCATGGAAATAAAATTACATATTTAATCAATACTGAGTTTTAGAAACTGAAAAAACCTTAGAGAACAAATTGTTTCTTTTCACTTGAGTAAAAATATTTGAAAAGAAGGTGCCACAATATTCTGATGAAAATCTAGAATCCAAGTGGGAATGTATTTTCAAACCACACAATTTTCTATCTGAAATTTTGTCAAGCATGTAAATTTTTTAAAATTGAAATAGTAGTGTTAATCACCCTGCAGCATAAATACAAATACATACAATGTATATAATTTATAAGAACATGCAATCATCCTTTAGTCTACAAGCACCTATGAACCTGAGTTGCAATATTATCCAATTTATCAGACTTTATACCACCATAACTTTGACTGAATTGGATCTTATATGTTTCAATTGGTTTGTGAGATTAATAATGGTACATTGTGCTCAATCTTGAGCTAAATGGGAGTTGGCTCTTATTTGCCTAGAAATTGGAAGGTGTAAATGTTCTCTGTTGATTTTAACATTTTTCAATCAATGCAACTGATGTCATGACAGAAAGAATGAACTGAATGGTTGTGACAAGGCTTTTGATTGTCCCTAGAATCATAGAACTGGAAGACAGCATAGAAATAATCTAGTTCAACTCCAGCTCAGGAAAGAATCCACTGGAGTATCTCTGATGGACCTTTGAGGACCTCTAGTTGAAGAACTCATCGTATCATGTGGCAGTCCTGCTTGTTCCAACAAGGAGGTCCTAAAGATTGAATATTATTCTTTTAGACCTCTTCCCACAGCTTCTATCAGGATTTTGGTCTTTTCTCTCTTTTGTCAATGTACATTTACATTTTCAAAATTCAATTATCTAGTACCATCTGCACTGCTGAATTGCAGCTCTATCAATTTGCTTCATAAAACTAATTTTTGGCAATAAATGATATATAAAAGAACACCCCCCCCTTCTCTCTCTTTCTCTAGAGATAAAGATAGAGATATACATATAGCTTATCAAGTACAATGGCATGATGGGAAAATGAAATCTGTCATGGCACAGATGGATATGACATTCAAGCCCCCTGCCAGAAAATATTTGTTGCCTTAAAAACATGTAAATATCTGTATTTGTGGAAATAATATCCCAAATGTACACATTTAGAGAAGTTCCTATATAAAATGATATGCTAAGGACAACTATTGAAGATGCTTGTACTTTTTAAGAAATAATTTATAGGAATGCTGGACTGGATCTGGACTGATACACCTCCCTAAGTAAATATTGTTATTACCTTTTCTTCTGCCTTAATCTTGCAACATAATATCACAATTCTAAAATAGGTTTTCATGTTCAAAGAGGAGTATAATAACCTTTTTGGCTTTATCTCCAATCTGTTCTTGGAAAGAAAGAAAAAAGGAACCTCCTTCTCAGTTTACAGTGGTCCTTTCCAAATGAAGTCAGAACTTATTGAATGGTATGCTAGATCTGCAAATAATGATCTGCAATGAATGGGAGGGAAATGTATTGTTATGGACAACATATACATTAAAAGAAATAAAAGAAACAAAGCAAACAAAAGAAAGAGAGAGATTCTATCACTTGCTGCCCTCTAGATGTTTATTTGGGAGTTAGGCTTTGATTCTGAGGTCCACTGCCAGGTGAAGGATGGTAGGTACATCTGGATGCACTGATAGAGCTATGCATTTTTGGCAAAAACTGGGAAAAGGTTTTGACTTGCTAATAGTAGGTATGAATGGAATAATTTTTGACCACCCGTCTCCATAAATAATACTTTATAAAGTATACTTTTATAAATTATAAATTATCAGGTAACCAGGAGAGGATTTGTTTTACTAGAAGGATCTAGCTTCAATTTTAGTACCCAATCAAATTTCTGAGTTAAGAATTCTTTATTTCCAAGACCGTATCTTCTTTTCTAAGCTGCTTCTAGTGAATCTCCGAATTCTGACAAAAAAACAATATATCATTTGCTCTCATTTGCTGTGCGTTCTAGGCGTCCCTTAGGCATGAAAGCCAGCTAAGTGATCTTGGACTAGTCATGGTTACTGAGCCCAGCCCATCTCACAGGTTTGTTGTTGTGGGGAAAATAGGAGACAGGAGTATTAGATGTGATTGCTGCCTCGAATTATATCTTAAAAAGGCAAGATTAAAAAAAAAATCTTGAGAAGCCAGCAAGCATTGAAGAAGCATTGCTATTTTTTTTAGAGAATGTGAGACAGAATGCCAATTCAGTTGAGCCAAATTTATGCAAGACTGTTTAAAATGGTACATTTAACAGATTGTGTGGCTAATTGTTGTAGTCAAACTAAAAAATAATACTTCTCATTTGAAATGTTTGTCCCATAGCCTCCTAAAGCCATAGTTTCTTTGTATGAAATTTCTATTGTTAAATGAAACATTTGTTAAGTGGATTTTGCCCCATTTTACGGCCTTTCTTGCCACAGTTGTTAAATGAATCACTGCAGTTGTTAGGTTAGTAATACAGTTGTGAATCTGGCTTCCCCATTGACCTTGCTTGTTAGAAGGTCGCAAAAAGTGATTACATGGCCCCGAGACACTGCAATGGTCAGAAATATGAGTCAGTTGCCAAGCATCTGAATTTTGATCATCACATGACCATGGGAACACTAGAGTGGCCATAAGTGTCAAAAACGGTCATAAGTCACTTTTTTCAGTGCCATTGTAATTTTGAATAGTCACTAAACAAACTGTTATAAGTCGAGGAATACCTGTATTCAAATTCATTTATTTATAAATAATATATATTGTATTTCTTTCTTTCCCAGTTATTCAAGAAAGTCCAGGAGAAGGTGAAAGATGGTCCATTATTAGTCTGACAGGCATTTCCTACAAAGATGCAGGAGACTACAGATGCAAGGCCAAAAATTTCGCTGGAATGTCAGAAGCTTCTGTTACTCTCACTGTTATTGGTGTTGTTACCACAACGGTACCTTCCCCAAAGTATGGCAAGAAGACAGAAATACCTCAAGCAACTACAACCCAAGAAGATATCAAACCAGAATTTTTCAATGTAACGCTTTCTTTTTCTACAATAGCATCCACAACCACCTCTCCTTCTACAGCTATGGCTACCACTGAAAAACTAACAACTAAAAGAGGAACTGACACAAAACAACCTGAGCCCATGCCTGATGACAAAAAGAATGGGAACACAGTTGCTAATGGAAGGAAAAAGCAATTGGATGCATCACTCAGTGTAGAGCCAGCAGATGAACAAAATGTTACTCTAAAAAACCTAAGAGTAATTCCTGAAACCAGTGAAAAAGTAACCTTAATGTGGAAAAATATTGATGGCTCTAATAGCTCTGCTTTGACTGTGCTGTATTCCAAGTATGGGGAAAAAGAGAAGGTGTCACTAAATCCAGATCCCACAAAAAACAAAGTGACAATAGATGGTTTGGAGCCCAGCACAAAGTATATGGCCTGCGTATGCCCTACAGAGATGCTTCCCACCAAAGACCAATGCATCATTTTCTCCACTGATGGAATTAATATGGAAGACAAATATCCTATTTCTATTTTGCTAGTAGCTAGTGGGATAGCCTGTGCAATAGCAATACCACTCATTTTTTTCTTACTATATAAAGTTGTGATGCTTCATAGGAAACCAAAATTGATCAAGGAAGATGAACTTGCAAAAGAGACTTATATCAAATTTGAAACTCTTTCTTTTAGACCACATTCCATGGGAGCAAATGTGGAGATCTGGACTCACCGAAACACTGATGAATCTGAAAGACAACTACTTTGTTCCAGGTCAAGTATGGATTCGCAGATGACCTTCAAAAGTGAAGGTTCTAGGTCAGAGTACTTCTACTAACTCTAATCTACAGAACCCAGAGTCAGCAGAAGTACTCTGATCTAGAACTTTCAATTTAGATAGGGGCAAAAGAAGCTGAAACCCAATACTGGATCAATGCCAACTACAAATCATAGATGACAAATACTGTAAATGATAGAAATCGAAGTCTTATGTGGTGTGGAAGGGAAAATGCTTCTGCAAAAACATTTAATGACACTTGATTATTTCTGAAGCACTTATCAATGTATAGTTTCTACTTGATTAATACTTCATTTGTTGTTTAAAAAGATTTATGTAAAATATGTATTTTCCTTCCATGGTGCTCTCCACATTTCTTTCAGTTATATACTGCTGCAGTTCAGTGCAAAGTACTTATCAATATTTTGTTTAATTAACTCAAAACTCCCAGTCTGTTATGCATGAGTGGAAAGACACAATGGGGCACAACCCAGAACAAGCCATTTCAATTAGATTAATGAATTAGTTCCATTTTGTATTGTGGTCAAGAGGTTGTATGATTAAAAATATGAGATTCAATTTGGGGAATGCACATAAATATTTATAATGTCAAGGTGTAATGCAGTTAATCAGCATTAAAGTTACAGACATGCAGCTAACCAAAGTAAGTCAGTGTTGTTGTTGTTGTTAATTGTGAAGTAGTGTCCGACCCATCGCGACCCCATGGACAATGTTCCTCCAGGTCTTCCTATCCTCTACCATTTTCTGGAGTCCATTTAAGTTCACACCTACTGCTTCAGTGACTCCATCCAGCCATCTCATTCTCTGTCGTCCCCTTCTTCTATTGCCCTCAATCTTTCCCAGCATTAGGCCCTTCTCTAGTGAGTCCTTCCTTCTCATTAGGTGGCCAAAGTATTTGAGTTTCAACTTCAGGATCTGGCCTTCTAAAGAGCAGTTGGAGTTGATCTCTTCTAGGACTGACCGGTTTGAACGCCTTGCAGTCCAAGGGACTCGCAGGAGTCTTCTCCAGCACCATAGTTCAAAGGCCTCAATTCTTTGGCGCTCAGCCTTTCTTATGGTCCAACTTTCACAGCCATACATTGCAACTGGGAAAACCATGGCCTGGACTATACGCACTTTTGTTGGCAGAGTGATGTCTCTGCTTTTTAGTATGCTGTCTAGATTTGCCATAGCTTTCCTCCCCAGGAGCAAGCGTCTTTTAATTTCTTGGCTGCAGTCCCCATCTGAGGTGATCTTGGAGCCCAGAAAAATAAAATCTGTCACTACCTCCATTTCTTCCCCATCTATTTGCCAGGAATTGAGAGGGCCGGATGCCATGATTTTGGTTTTCTTAATGTTGAGTTTCAAGCCAACTTTTGCACTCTCCTTCTTCACCCGCATCAAGAGGCTCTTTAGTTGCTCTTCACTTTCTGCCATTAGAGTGGTATCATCTGCATATCTTAGGTTGTTGATATTTCTCCCGGCAATCTTAATTCCAACTTTTGATTCATCTAGCCCTGCCTTTCTCATGATGTGCTCTGCATATAAGTTAAATAGGCAGGGCAACAGTATACAGCCTTGCCGGACTCCTTTTCCAATTTTGAACCAATCAGTGGTTCCGTGTCCAGTTCTCACTGTTGCTTCTTGACCCGCATATAGGTTTCTCAAGAGACAAATGAGATGGTCTGGTACTCCCATCTCTTTAAGAACTTGCCACAATTTGTTGTGATCCACACAATCAAAGGCTTTAGCATAGTCAATGAAGCAGAAGTAGATGTTTTTCTGGAACTCCCTAGCTTTCGCCATGATCCAGCGTATGTTGGCAATTTGATCTCTAGTTCCTCTGCCTCTTCGAAATCCTGCCTGTACTTCTGGTAGTTCTCGATCCACATACTGCTGGAGTCTAGCTTGTAGGATTTTAAGCATAACTTTACTAGCATGTGAAATGAGTGCAATGGTGCGATAGTTTGAACATTCTTTGGCATTGCCTTTCTTTGGAATTGGAATGTAAACTGACCTTTTCCAATCCTGTGGCCACTGTTGAGTTTTCCAAATTTGCTGGCAAATTGAGTGTAGCACTTTTACTGCATCGTCTTTTAAGATTTTGAATAGCTCAGCTGGAATACTGTCACCTCCACTAGCTTTGTTGTTGCTCAGATTTTCTAAGGCCCATTTCACTTCACATTCTAGGATGTCTGGTTCGAGGTCAGTGACCATCTCATTGTGGTTATCTGGGATGTTAAGCTCATTCTTGTATAGTTCTTCTGTGTAGTTTTGCCATCTCTTCTTAATCTCTTCTGCCTCTGTTAGGTCCCTGCCATTTTGGTCCTTTATCATGCCCATCTTTGCATGAAACGTTCCCTTCATATCTCCAATTTTCTTGAAGAGATCTCTGGTCCTCCCTATTCTGTTGTTTTCTTCTATTTCTTTGCACTGTTCATTTAAGAAGGCATTCTTATCTCTTCTAGCTACTCTCTGGAATTCTGCATTCAATTGGGTGTATCTTTCTCTTTCTCCTTTGCCTTTCGCTTCCCTTCTTTCCTCAGCTATTTGCAAAGCTTCCTCAGACAGCCATTTTGCTTTCTTGCATTTCTTTTTCTTTGGGATAGTTTTAGTTGCTACCTCTTGTACAATATTGCGAACTTCCATCCATAGTTCTTCAGGCACTCTGTCTATCAGATCTAATTCCTTAAATCTATTTGTCACCTCTACTGTATATTCATCAGGAATATGATTTAGTTCATACCTGAGTGGCCTAGTGCTTTTCCCTACTTTTTTCAATTTGAGCCTAAATTTTGCAACGAGAAGCTCATGATCTGAGCCACAGTCAGCTCCTGGTCTTGTTTTTACTGACTGTATAGAGCTTCTCCATCTTTGGCTGCAGAGCACATAGTCAATCTGATTTCTATGTTGACCATCTGGTGATGTCCATCTGTAGAGCCGTCTCTTGGGTTGTTGGAAAAAAGTGTTTGTTATGACCATCGTATTCTCTTGACAAAATTCTATCAGCCTGTGCCCTGCTTCATTTTGTACTCCAAGGCCAAACTTGCCTGTTATTCCGGTTATCTTTTGGCTTCCTACCTTAGCATTCCAATCCCCCATGATGATAAGGACATCATTTTTTGGTGTTAATTCTATAAGGTGCTGTAGGGCTTCATAGAACCGGTCAATTTCATCCTCTTCAGCACCAGTGGTTGGGGCATAGATTTGGATTATTGTGATATTGAATGGTTTGCCTTGGATTCGAATTGAGATCATTCTGTCATTTTGGGGATTGTATCCCAGTATTGCTTTTCCTATTCTTTTATTGACTATGAAGGCTACTCCATTTCTTCTGAGGGATTCTTGCCCACAGTAGTATACCTGATGGTCATCTGAGTTAAATTCACCCATTCCTGTCCATTTTAGTTCGCTGATTCCTAAGATGTCGATGTTCAGTCTTGTCATCTCTTTTTTGACTAGTCTAGCTTGCCTTGATTCATGGATCTTACATTCCAGGTTCCTATGGAGAAAAAATCTTTACAGCATCGGACTTTCCTTTCACCACCAGATATATCCACAGCTGAGCGTCCTTTCGGCTTTGGCCCAGTCGCTTCATTCTTTCTGGCGCTACTAGTACTAGCCCTCTGCTCTTCCCCAGTAGCATATTGGACACCTTCCGACCTGAGGGGCTCATCTTCCAGCGTCATATCTTTTTTCCTTTTAGTACTGTCCATGGGGTTTTCATGGCAAAGATACTGGAGTGGTTTGCCATTTCCTTCTCCAGTGGATCACATTTTGTCAGAACTCTCTGCTATGACCTGTCCGTCTTGGGTGGCCCTGCACGGCATAGCTTATAGCTTCATTGAGTTACACAAGCCCCTTCGCCACGACAAGGCAGTAATCCATAAAGGAGAGTAAGTCAGTAACTATACCTGAAATAAGTCACACCTAAATTTCACTCAGATCACTTATTTGATAACTTGGACCTGCTTTGCAATTCCACATGATAGATTTTTTTCAGAAGAAACATTTCCTCAACCTGTGTTATGAGTTTAAACTAATGATGAATATACATAAGTAAGAGTTGCAACAAAAGAACTAAACTTATTATATACAGATAAGTTAGAGGAACCTATTTTGGACTTATCCATTAAGATTAGAAGAGAATATTAAGAAAGATCAAAGAAGAGTTTGAAAGATTAGAGCAAGTAGTATATTTTTTCAAAGAATTTAGGGCATAGTAAAATGGTTCTCCCCCAGTATTTGGCCTTAGTATCTATCTGGTATTCAGTGATATATTGCTGTTGATTATTTTCATTTCATTTCATTTCATTATTTTCATTAAAATATTTTCATTTTAGCTATTCTAAGTAATAGTGGTTAATGCATCAGTTCTTGAGGAATGTGAATGAACTGATTAGTCCCTTTTTGAATAACTAGTAACATTATTGGCCTTTGTTATGATCAAGAGGATGTGGTGGCTCAGTGGTTAAAGACGCTGTCCAGTTGACGAGATGAGATTTCGTTACTTGTCCCAGCTCCTGCCCAGCTAGCAGTTTGAAAGCATGCAAACGCAAGTAGATAAACAGATACCACTTTGCTGTGAAGGTAACAGTATTCCATGCATGCTGGTCACATGACCATAGAAATGTCTGTGGGCAACACTGGCTCCCTCAGCTAAAAAATGGAGATGAGGGCACTGCCTCTTAGAGTCGGAAATGACTGAATGAGGGAAACCTTTACCTTATTATGGTCAATGGCCAAATTTATACATGTTTACATTAGAAAGGTTACAGATTTCGCATTTCAGAAAGTAATGAAAACTGAAATAAAATAGGGTGAAAAAAGTAGAATACTAAAAGAATTCAAACACTTAAAAAGAGCTAAAATTACAGAACTACCATATTCTGGTTTCTCCTAAGAATGTATTAAGTCACCTGTCTTTTAATAAGAAAAATATTAAGTTAGCTTTTTGGAGCTGAGTAGAAGACTTAATACCTTTTATTTCTGATGTACTCAGAATATATCACATGTAAACAAGCAGCAGTATCCATGCTTAAGAAAAATGTATCGGCATATGTTTATGCATGAAAATCTATAACCATGACTTCCCACTTCTTTTGGAAGGAATGCATTAGGACCATCAAAGTAATTTAAATGAATGTGATAGTTTGAGCAAAGCAATTGTCTTCAAAAAAGGAGCCATGTCCTTTAGAAGTCTCATGTGCTTGCTGCAAAGTGATACAGTTGCTTCATTTCATAGGTCCTAGCAGAAATGTTTTTAATGCGTAGATATGAAGGAATGAGTTGTGAAGCAGCTTACAGGAGCCCTCCAAAGGACATGGATCTGACATTTCAGTGGATCTCCTATTTGGGTCAATGCATATGCCTGTCTCAATTTGTATCGGTCCAGATGATCATTCAATTCTTTGGGATTCAGTCTTATTTCTAAAGTTGTTTAGTACAGCTATCTAATGTTGATGGAGCACATCAACATATGGGGCACACTAGCTTGAGAAAGACAATCTTAAGCCACTGTTGAAAAAGGCCAGTTCTAAGCACCCAAGATCTGAAGATTGCTATATGCTTTTTATTTTTTTCCCTGTATTATCAATATGAATAAATAATTGCAAATAACAGAGGCATTCAGTATTTTCATAATCATGTTCGGCTAACACAAGAGAAACTGAAGAATATTGGAGGTTGAAACTGAGACCATGGACTCTTCGGAATAGAACCTGTATGTGTCCCTCATATTTCCTCTCATATCTAGTGTAAAAAAAAGGGGGGAG